CCCATACCAAGGACCCATTGGGTTGGCCATTTAAAATGGGTTTGCAATGTAAAAGGAGGGGCTGGGGTTTCCGGGTTAACATGCAGCACAAACCCAACTACCCCCACCACAAACACCCCCAATTCTCTGGGATGATCACTTCACCTCTCCCCCCACCACGTGGCTAACAGCGGGGAACATTTCTGTTCAGCCGAGCAGGAACGGGCACCTCTGAATGTCCCCTTAATAAAATCACCCCATTTCAACTAGGTGATCATGAATGATATCACTCTCCTGAGGATAACAAAGAGCGATAAGGAATGGATGTTGTCTGCGTGCCAGCAAACACCGGGACCATACGCTGCCATACTTTGTTATGCAATGATTCCAGACTACGTGCTACTGGCCTGGCGTGGTAAAGTGTCCTACCATGGCGGACGGGATAAGGCAGCCCTCCCCAGAAACCTTTTGCAAAGGCTTTGGGAGTACATGAAGGAGACCTTTCTGGAGATGTCCCTGGAGGATTTCCGCTCCATCCCCATACACGTTAACAGACTTTTCCAGTAGCTGTACTGGCCGCGATTGCCAGGGCAAATTAATCATTAATCATTAAACACGCTTGCTTTTAAACCATGTGTAATATTTACAAAGGTACACTCACCAGAGGTCCCTTGTGTGCCCTCAGGGTCTGGGAGCACGCCTTGGGTGAGTTCAGGGGTTACTGGTTCCAGGTCCAGGGTGATAAACATATCCTGGCTGTTGGGGAAACCGGTTTCTCTGCTTCCTTGCTGTGAGCTCTCTTCATTGTCTTCATCATCATCTTCCTCGTACCCCGAACCCGCTTCCCTGTTGCGTGTTTCTCCATTGACAGAGTCAAAGCACACGGTTGGGGTAGTGGTGGCTGCACCCCCTAGCATCGCATGCAGCTCCGCGTAGAAGCGGCATGTTTGCGGCTCTGCCCCGGACCTTCCGTTTGCCTCTCTGGCTTTGTGGTAGGCTTGCCTTAGCTCCTTAATTTTCACGCAGCACTGCTGTGCGTCCCTGTTATGGCCTCTGTCCTTCATGGCCTTTGAGACCTTTTCTAATATTTTGCCATTTCGTTTACTGCTACGGAGTTCAGCTAGCACTGATTCGTCTCCCCATATGGCGAGCAGATCCCGTACCTCCCGTTCTGTCCATGCTGGAGCTCTTTTGCGATCCTGGGACTCCATCATGGTTACCTGTGCTGATGAGCTCTGCGTGGTCACCTGTGCTCTCCACGCTGGGCAAACAGGAAATGAAATTCAAAAGTTCGCAGGGCTTTTCCTGTCTACCTGGTCAGTGCATCTGAGTTGAGAGTGCTGTCCAGAGCGGTCACAATGAAGCACTGTGGGATAGCTCCCGGAGGCCAATAACGTCGAATTCCGTCCACACTACCCCAAATCCGACCTGCAAAGGCCGATTTTAGTGCTAATCCCCTCGTTGGAGGTGGAGTAAAGAAACCGGTTTAAAGGGCCCTTTAAGTCGAAAAAAAGGGCTTCGTCGTGTGGACGTGTCCAGGCTTAATTTGATTTAACGCTGCTAAAGTCGACCTAAACTCGTAGTGTAGACCAGGCCTTAGTTGGCTAATGTTTACAATCCCAGTTGGTTAAGGAGTTTCATCAGCCCATTGCAGGTACAGACTTTGTGTTAACTGAAATGTGAGTCTGGCCTGACTAATAGTGCTTATGCCCTGGCCAACCTATATTGCCCCAAATGTGTAACTTTCTTGATAGACCTTTCTATGTAAAAGTCATACCATTACTAAGGAGTTACCATGGACTTGCTGTGTAACCATGGGCAAACCTTTAAATTTTTTTTTTACCTCGGTTTCTTCATTTGTAAACTAGAGACAGTAATACCATCCTCTTTAAAGTATATAGAAATTTCTGCAAGAAAAGTGTTATATAAGTGCTGCCTTATTATTTGTTAAAAAATATTGACGAAAATGGCCAGTGATGTTATGCAAAAATATATCAAAGAGGGCTTCATTGCAGTGTTTAATTTTATAAACCTATATGATCAGTTGGTACTTTGGCTGGGTGTAACCCTAAATCATTACCCTATAAGCTGTACTCTGATTCAGAAGATAGAAACTGTCATGTATTTCTTTTGCAATAACGTAGGGCTTGTCTTTACTACTGCACTAAATCAGCACTGCTGCAACACGTCTGGTGAAGACCCATTACATCGACAGCAGAGCGCTCTCCTGTCAAGATAATTACTCCACGTCAATGAGAGGTGGAAGCTATGTTGGCCAGAGAGCTTCTCCCGCCAACATAGTGTGGTGTAGACACCACTTTAAGTCAATGTAAGTTACATTGCTCAGGGTGGTGGCTTTTTCACACCCCTGAGGGATGTAACTTACATTGACTTAAGCGGTCATGTAGACAAGCCCATAGTAAACACATTGACACTATATAACAGTTGCCATGTAGTTAACTGATTGAACGACCACATACTATGAATAAAGAGGGTTTACACGTTATTTCTGCCCTGTAACAATGTGTAGTGAACTACTTCTCTTTTCTAGAAAAAAGAAGTATAGACTGGTCCTGATAAGTGTTAAGGAAAGATAGGATGCAGGTCATCAAATGGGATGCAGATATAAATCCCTCAAGGAAGAAGAATGTGAAATTTACAGGAAAAAAATTCATCCTGTAAATTGACTCTTTTCACATCATCTTAAACTAAGTGTGGAGGGATCTCCAGTGACTAAACTAGGAAGAGTTACGCCGTTAATCATGCAGTCATCATAACCTTATTTCCACTATGTTTAGTTGCTTATCCCACACACAAAAGCATAGTTTGTATTAGCATTGTGCTAATATTTTACATATTTTTTTCCCTCAACCAATAAAATAAAATAACATGCAATACACTCTGGGTCTTATTTGGCAGCCTTTCCCATTGAAGCAAATACAGCCATATATGACCCATATATATAAGTATGGTCATATATGGCTGCCTTTACTCTCTGAAGGTGAAGGAAAGGGAGAGTATACATATTGATGTATCACTGTGTGTTACCTGTAAATTACGTCTCTTCTTGACAAGTTCTTATATGTGTTTTAAAAAAAAAACTTAAGCTGTGGCAAATAGTGGGACTGTGAGAATGCTGCTGTCAGTCGCCCATGCTGATTAGGTAGCCTGTGACCATCCCAGCATGAACTTGGAATCCCAGATTAGTTTTTTTTTAAATCTTGTTGCTGTTGCTGTTTGTTGCACTGTTACTTTAATGTCAGCAATAATGTATGTATATTTCCAGCACAAGTGCAGATTTTACCCCACCCTCTCCCAAGGGATGATGTCATCACACCTGTGTGCTACACATTTATTTAATGTGTGACCCTTAACAGTCTGTAGCTTGGCTTTAATTGCAGAGTGACTCTCTTAGCAGTATGCATCCTGGTCTTTGTAACTTGACTCTTGAAGTCCACTTTCACCTTAATACCCAAACTGCCTAACCCTAACTGTTCAGTGTAATTGGTGGTTGCCAGCAAGGAGACTAGCCATCTGTTAGAAGGACATGTATTAAAACTCCAATGGTACACGATTGGCACTGATTGTAAAGACAGATGCAGTTAAGGCAATTGTAACACAGGCTGCAGCAATGGAGGCAATAAGCTGCTAATCCAATAGTGGGTGGTGGTGGTGAAACAAATGCAACATTACTGTAGAAGGCATTAGCGAGAATCATCAGCAATTACTCCTGAAAGATTCTTCTCCTGATAATCCATCAGCTGCTGCTGATTCTCCCCTAAAAGTGCATGAAGGAATGTGAGGCTGTGTTGTAAAAGGAGCACATTCATTACTTGCCAAAATGAACTGTATTGATAGTCTGCTGGCTTTAGTGGGGAAATCAGTCTAGGGCATTGTTGAGCAGCTTCATTGACTCTGATCAGTCTCTTCCCCTAGAGAACCCATTATAACACTATGGGTATCATCAGCACCACAGATGCAGATTGGCTCCACTATGACTGCTGATTATTTCATTTAAAAATATTATATTTCAAGTCTGTATTTAATTTTGTCACCCAGGATTAAATGTATCCCTGTAAAGGGCTGCCAGAAAGCCTATGAGCTGCCTAAATGCTGCTTACACCCTGCTGGTCCTTTGCTCCCCCATCCCTAAATAGTCAAGGGGTGTTATCCAGAACTCATTGGTCTTTTAGTCTTCAAGGATTTTTAATAGTTTTTTCTTAAGTCTCCCTTCTTGTGGATTCCCACTCCGTGAGTTTCATGCTGACATCTGGGCTGGAACAAACACACAAAACACACAGCTGAAGTGACTAAGTTTTGCCTGGTTTGGAGTTGAAACCATTGAAACTACAGAGTTTCTCATAGTTTCCACCCAAAGTAATAAATTGGCACATCTTACTCATAACTCAGCCCAGGTTTGTGAGCCTTGGTGAATCTTTTTGGTAAATCTGGCTCAGGTTTTGGGTTTGTAACAACACTCAAAAACGTGTAAAACTGGCACCCGCTGCATTTGAGATTTGGACAGTTACATTTTAAAACAAATTGAAATAAATGAATATGTGGGTTTATTTTCTGTTTGTAACCTAAATACCATCTTTAATACTACTTTTTCATCTAGCCATGCATGTCTCCTGCCAAGGCTTGGGGTTGGGCAATTGGGAGGGGAGGTGTCTACAAGAAGACCTCTCTAGTTTAAGAAGTATGTAAACATTTTGAGAACCAGTCGAGATAAAAGGGATTCTATAAATAGATAACCACTATTTATTACTTTTGAGCAGCATCTGCTGCTTTGTTACTCTTTTCACACAGATCTGAGAATCATCAATAGTATTAAAAAAGAGGCAATGGGGGAAAAAATTCTGGTCAGTCCTTTCTTATTGGTGTTTTCCATCATAAGAATGTGTCTGAAGTGTGTATAGAGTAATTTTTTATCAAGGTTTTCTGTAAATGGCTGTAAACTTGAACATCATAAAAGTCAAGCTGATGTTTCAATATTATTATTATTATTTTATTTTTAACAGAACCACCCAAAGTTGTCATATCACCTAGGAATCGGTCTTTTACAGAAGGCTCCGAGGTGTCTATAATGTGTTCTGCGACAGGTTATCCAAAGCCAAAGATAGTCTGGACACACAATGACATGTTTATCTTGAGATCAGACAGGTATGGTAATGGGCTTGCAGCCTTTCCCTCTTTTCTATTTGAGGAGGATCGTGTTCAGGAATTAGCATTGAGGAATTATGAAATGTTCTGAATGAAAATTTCCTACCAACCTCAAAGGCCTGTGAGACTTGTAAATAGTGCTTGGGGGGGAAAAAAGGAAGTTGGGTAAACTCCAAAATCTGGCCCTTTAATCTCAGTTTTCTCATCTGTAAAATGGTGATATTATGATTACCCCATTTCACAAGGATATTGCAAGACTTAATTTGATGATGCTTCCAAAGCACTTCGAGATGCTCTGATGGAAGTTACTATTTATACAAAACACATGCATATATGAAAACCATCTATACACGATGTTTGCCACTACATGAGATTGTTTTCGCAATGACTACTGAATTTTGTTCATACGCTTTTTTTTTCCTCCCCAGATATAGGTTGACCCCAGAAGGCACTTTGATAATTAAAAAGGCCGTTCCAAAAGATGCAGGACTTTATGGTTGTTTGGCCAGTAACTCAGCTGGGACAGAGAGACAGACTTCTACCCTCACATACATTGGCAAGTATAGAAAGAAACAATGAAGTGAAATTAAAAAACAAACAGATGATCTGAGGGGAAAAGTTGAATAATATTGATAGAGCTGTTCAGAACATTTCTAATGAAATAAAATTTCAAATAAAAATAAAAAAATCCTGAAAATTTTAACAAATTTTCCCTCTGTTTTCTAACAAGCTGTAAATATTGATAATGTTAAAGGTGGTGGTCGTGGTGGTGGTTGTTACTGTTTCTTCATTTATGGCTCTCATGTTTCTGTTTATCTTAGTTTTAATTTTACAATAAGAAATAGTGTGTTAAAAAATTAGATCTGCAGTGAGCAGTGCTACCTGCCAGTGAACATAGGAGGCAAATGGGCCTCAACTGACTTCTCTCTTTTTCCTTATCCCTCCCACTGGATAACTTTAATCTAGTCTTCTCCCATCACCCTTCATATTAGACCAGCTCTCTGGTGCATGTATTACTCCTGGGGGAATTCTGCTCCACTGCGCATGCGTAGAATTTATGTCCCCTGCATATTTCTTTGTTTCCCTGCAGAAAAATGACTTCCTTGAGTGATTGGTGTGCGTGCATTGCGTGCACGGATGTCAGAAACTTTTTCCCTTAGCAGCTCCTGTTGGGACGGCAGGGGAGCCCCCTAGAGTGGCACCCTTATGACGGTGTATATAGTACCCTGCCGGCCCGAACCCCCTTCAGTTCCTTCTTACCGTCCGTGATGGCGTTGGAACGTTTTCTCTCTCTTGCGAGTGATCCTTAGCTTTTCAGTCTTCTAGTTAGAGTTGTTCTTAGCTAGTTATCAGATAGTTAAATACAGTTGTATTCAGGTGTCTAGAAGCTAGTTCCAGCACCAGCCTTGGGCTGCAGGGCATGCCGCAAGCCCAGGGTTTCAAAGCTTGTGCCTCGTGCCTAATAGCGACCCTCACGACTCCTGTCTCCGGTGTCTGGGAGAGGCACATCAGGCTGAGCGCTGCAAAATTTGCAAGGCCTTCAAATCGTGCACTAAGAAAGAAAGAGACTTTCGTCTTAAGCAGTTGCTCATGGAGGCTGCGCTACAAGCACCAGCCCCAGACCACCCGGCAACGGGCCCAGGTTCTCGGTGCAAAGTGCCCTGGCATTGGTGCGTGATCCGGCACCACCCAGGCACCGTAAATTGCCAGCACCGAGGCGGGCCGCCCAACCTCAGCACTGATCGACTTCTCCGGAACCGACTAAGCTTCATAAGAAGGGGGAAAGAGGGTGCTCTCCCCAAAGAGCTACCAAGATGCTTAGAGAGGCTTCCGACTTGCAAAGACAGGTTGCGGGCCCGAGCCAAGAACTGGCACCGTTGACTTCGGTGCCACAGGCCCTGTTGAGACCGGTACCCAGCGAATTCAGTGCCGATGAGTGTCTGGAGAAGGTCCTGGAACACCCCTCCACACCCAACACATTCGAGGCAGGGAAGGACCTCATCGAGCTGTCGGTGCCAAATCCCCTCCCATGCAGGGAGAAGCCTCCGGCACCACCCAGCAGGGTGCTGTCCAGAGGGAAACCAGCAATGGCACCTTTCCCGTTCGAGCTCAGTGCAACACTACTCCCCAGCACCCGCGACCCAACATGAGCTTTCGGCACCGGAGGCAGACGTACCCGCGACACCTGCGTCAGTGTTTAGACGCTGTTCCACGATGCCATCGGTCGCCCGGCAGTGGAGCGTGGCACCAGCAACCTTCCCAGCACCGCGTGAGAAGCACCGATTCCGGTCCCAAGACTCCCTGTACCGTTCGTGGTCCTGATCATCCAGGCACCGGTCCCTGGCCTGTACCTCACGGCACCCTACAGCAGCTCAAGGATCGGCACCTCCTTGGTCCTTTCTGTCGGTATCCTCCGGCTTTGAAGCTGACTCCAGTCGTTCCAGCTACAGCAAGCACCGGACCATGGCCAGCAGAGACTCACACTCAGCTTGGCAGCCACCGTGGCCACCTCCGGGACATTGGCCCTTCTGGACCCCATGGGCCTACCATCAACAACAGTGCACCATCTCCAGAGCCTCTAGGTCCGGGCACTCTACGCGATGCCATTCCAGGTCACCATATAGGCATGCTTCAATGGCGAGAGGGGCCACACTCTCTATGCCGCCCTCGGATCCCCAAGAGCAGCTGACAGTGGCAGGCACAGTGCCCGTGGTGTTACCAAGTCAGACGATGCCTCAGGAGATGGCAGCCACATCGGGCCCCAACGTGGCCCAGGCCTATGGGGACTTGCAGGAGGGTCAGCCCGAGGGCAACCAAAAGCAGCTCACGTCCTCTTCTTCCTCAGACGAAGTGGTGATGGGTACATCAGTCTCAGGACCACCACCGATCGACATAGGGCTCACCAAGAGCTTCTCCACAGGATTGCCCTCAACATGGGCCTCCAGGCGGAGGAAACGGTCCAGCAGGAGGATCCGATGGTGGACATCCTGGCTCCTGAAGGTCCCTCCAGAGTTGTGCTCCCTCTGATAAAGACCATACAAAGCAATTATAATACTATATGGCAAACCCCAGCCTCCATCACGCGGACGGCCAGGAGGGTGGAAAGAAAATACTTCACCCCATCCAAGGGCTACGAGTTCCTGTTCTGCCACCCAACTCCCTGCTCTCTGGTTGTTTCAGCAGTTAACGAAAAGGAACGCCAGGGTCAGCAAGCTTCGGCCCAGTTCTCCTCCTTCCCTCCCCCCCACCCACCTTCCCCGTCCCTCGTCAGGGACCCCTCTCATGAGCAACTCCTTATGCAGGAGGTCTGTTCACTCCTCAAGATAGGGGCGGTGGAGGAGGTTCCTCAGAAGCTAAGGGGAAAGGGGTTTTACTCCTGTTACTTCCTAATCCCCAAGGCAAAAGGGGGTCTTCGACCCATTTTAGACCTTCATGGACTCAACAAATTTATAGTCAAACTCCAGTTCTGCATGGCCTCCCTAAGCACTATCATCTCATCACTGGATCCGGGAGATTGGTACGCTGACCTTGACATGAAGGACGCTTATTTCCACATCACCATCCATCCGGCACACCGATGCTTCCTCCGGTTTGTAATAAACCAAAAACGCTACCAGTTCATGGTACTCCCATTCAGCCTGTCCACAGCCCCCGGCGTGTTCACGAAGCGCATGGCGGTGGTGGAGGCCTTCCTGCGAAAAAGGCAAGTTCAAGTGTACCCCGTACCTTGATGACTGGTTACTGTCAGGTCGATCCAAGGATGAGGTCCAGTCCCAAGTGACAATTGTCAGGGACACCTTTCACAGGCTGGGGCTTGTCCTCAACATACCCAAGTCCTCACTTCAATACCTCACCACGACAGTCAGGTGTTGCCTGCAGGTAATCGGACATATGGCAGCCTGCATGTATGTGGTCAAGCATGCCCGACTGAGACTCAGGCCCATACAAGCATGGCTCGCACTATGTTACCGCCCGTCCCGAGACCGCCTGGACCTTGTGGTAATTATTCCAGGACAGGTCCAAGAATCCCTGCGTTGGTGGCTGGACCGACCAGTAGTCTGTGCAGGGGTCCCCTTCGCCAAGCCCCAACCTTCTCTGATGCTAGTAACAGACGCATCAGATCTGGGCTGGGGCACACACTTAGGGGATCTGAGGACACAAGGTCTGTGGTCGAGGGACGAGATACCTCTCCATATCAACCTGAAGGAGCTCAGAGCAGTTTGTCTGGCCTGCCAAACCTTTCACGCCACTTTGCAAGGTCACAGCGTGACAGTCCTGACAGACAACATCACTGCCATGTTCTACATAAACAAACAGGGTGGAGCCCACTCCTCACCCCTCTGCCGCAAGGCTCTTCTCCTCTGGGACTTCAGTATAGCCCGGTCCATTCAGCTGGAAGCATCCTACCTCCCCGGGGTATGGAATGAACTGGCGGATCGCCTCAGCAGGTCCTACCACGTTCATGAGTGGTCGATCAGATCGGACATCATACAGTCTATTTTCCAATGGTGGGGCTATCCCCAAGTAGACCTCTTTGCCACCAAGAGCAACACACAGTGCCCTCAGTTCTGCTCATTTCAAAACCACAGTCCGGGTTTGATTTCTGACGCATTCCTAATACCGTGGGGCGAGGGGCTGAAGTATGCCTTCCTTCCAATCCTGCTGGTCCACTGGGTTCTACTCAAAATTCGCAGGGACAGGGCGACAGTAATCATTATTGCCCTGGCTTGGCCACGGCAGCATTGGTACACGACCCTCCTAGAGCTGTCCATAGACGCCCCGATAGCCCTGCCCCTCTACCCGGATCTGATCACACAGGACCACGGGCGCCTTCTCCACCCGAACCTACAGTCTCTGCACCTCATGGCTTGGAAACTCCATAGCTAAATCCCATGGAGAGCCAGTGCTCTCAGCCAGTGAGACAGATTCTCCTCGGTAGTAGGAAACCTTCCACCAGGGTAACCTACATGGCAAAGTGGAAAAGGTTTTCCTGCTGGTGTGAACCCAAGCATCTCCAACCGCTCCAGGTTCCTATCCCGATTATTTTGGACTACCTCCTACACCTCAAGGCCTGTCTCCTTTGTCCATCAGAGTGCACCTGGCGGCTATCTCAGCATTCCATCCAGGGGAATCTGGGCGCTCGGTGTTCTCAAATCCCATGGTGGGGTGCTTCCTTAAGGGACTGGAGAGGGTGTTCCAATATTCTCGTCCACCAGTCCCAACCTGGAACCTGAACCTGGTCCTCTACAAACTCATGAGCCTCTCCAAACTTCGAGCCCCTAGCCACTTGTTCCCTGCTCTACCTTTCATGGAAAGTAGCATTCCTGGTGGCCATTACATCGGCCAGGAGGGTGTCTGAGCTGAGAGCGCTCACCTCTGAACCCCTTTACAGGTGTTTCATAAGGACAAGGTACAGCTTAGAATGAACCCTAAATTCCTCCCTAAGGTGGTCTCCCAATTCCACATGGGCCAGGACATTTGCATACTGGTGTTCTTTCCAAAGTCCCACATGAGCTCGCAGTACCGCAGCTTACACACGCTGGATGTTCGAAGAGCCTTAGCGTTCTACATAAAGCGCACGAGGCCTTTCCGCAAATCAACCCAATTGTTCGTGGCCATAGCCGATAGAATGAAGGGCCTTCCAGTTTCTGCGCAACGCATATCGTCCTGGATCACAGACTGCATTCGCATGTGCTATGAGTTGGCCAAGGTCCCAGCCCCACCAATCACGGCCCATTCGACCAGCCTTTCTGGCGCAGGTCCCCATCCAGGAGATTTGTAAGGCAGCTACCTGGTCTTCTGTCCACACATTTACAGCCCACTATGCTGTCAACCAACAGGCTAGAGATGATGCAGCAGTTGGCAGGGCTGTCCTCCAATCAATCATTCCGTGACTCCTACCCACCTCCGATGGTAAGCTTGGAAGTCACCTAATTGGAACAGACGTGAACCATCACTCAAAGAAGAAAAGACGGTTACTTACCTCTTGTAACTGTTGTTCTTCGAGATGTGTTGTTCACATCCATTACAATACCCACCTCCCTACCCCTCTGTCGGAGTCAATGGCAAGAAGGAACCAAAGGGGGGTCGGGCTGGCAAGGTACTATATACTCCGCCGTAAGGGCACCATTCTAGCTCCCCTGCCGTCCTGATGGGAGCTGCTAAGGGAAAAAGTTTCTGACGTCCGTGCACGCAATGCGTGCACACCTAATTGTAATGGACGTAAACAACACATCTCGAAGAACAACAGTTACAAGAGGTAAGTAACCATCTTTTTCTGATGGGGAAGCAAAGGGAAGCTACACGAGCGGTCATGTGATCCTTCCTAGCAGTATGTTTCAGGTGCCCAGGGCAGCCGGCAGAGAGGTAAATCACTATGGGGCAGAGGGGAAGGCCTAGCTCATGGCTCCTACCCTGAACCAGGCTCAGCTGCTAGTCTTGGCTGGGCTGGGAAAGAGGGGACTTCCTCTTCCCCTGCATGGCATCTGGGGCTGGGTTAGACCCACCCCAGATTTCTCCCTCAGCTGTAAACTACCTTCCCTCAGGTTTCCTGCACCCATCGCTCCTCAGCTGCAGGGGGAGGGATCATTGTACGGGGAGCTGCTCCCCCATCTGCCCAACCTGTGCATCCAGACCCTCCCACAGAGCCTCCCCCCCAGATCCAGAACCCCCCCGATGAGCCCCACTCTCCCTGTACCTGGACCCAGTGATGAGCTCCCAAAATCTTAAGAACCGGTTCCCTACCAGGTCCTCTCGGCGGCACTTCAGCGGCGGGGGTCTTCACCGCCGAAGTGCCGCCGAAGACCCGGTAGGGAACCGGGAGGTGAGTATGGGCCCAGAGCCCTGGGTGTAGCGGGGGGCTGTGGGGGCTATTTAAAGGGCCGGGGCTCCAGCTGCCTCTGCCGCCCTGGTCCTTTAAATAGCCGTGGGAGCCCCGCCGCTTCCCCAGGGCTCAGGCGGCTCTCTGAGGGGGGGTGGGGAGCAGGGGAGGGGCCGGGGGAGCCTCGGCCTCCCCAGCTGGGAGCTCAGGTGGGCCAGACAGGACAGTCCCGTGGGCCGGATGTGGTCCGTGGACCGGAGTTTGCCCACCCGCCTGCCCCTTTAGGAACCGGTTCTAGACCGGCTTCTAAGTTTAGCAACCAGTTCTTGCGAACCGGTGCGAACTGGCTCCAGCTCACCACTGCCTGGACCACCCTGATGAGCCACCCACACCTGGATCCCCATCCCACTGAGCCCCACTCCCCCATCATCTGGACACCCCCTCTGCCAGCTTTATCCCCCCCACACCCAGATTCCACCCCACCCAGCCCCAACCACTTTCACCTGGATCCCCCTGCAGCATCCCATTACCATTGCACCCAGAACCACCCAATAAGCCCCTGTGCAGCCAGATCCCTCTACACCTGGATCCCCCACTGAGCCACCCCACCCAGATTGCCTCACACAGAACCCTCTCAATCCACACCTGGATCACCCCACACTAAGCCCCTCTACACTTGGACCCTGGCTGGCTGAGCCTGCCTGCATCTGGCACAGAGGGGCAGGGCCCTGGGGTGTTTCTGGGGCAGGCCCGGTCCTTGCACTGTGTCAGGGTTGGATGCAGCCACACCGCTGAGTCCGTGTCCCAAAGGGAGCTGCAGAGTGATCTCCCACCTCTGTGCAGCCATTGGCCTGTGCTCCCCATTGCCATGCTGGAGCCTCCACATTTATTTGACAAATAAAATTTAGAGAATTTTTAATTTTTTAGTGCAGAATTTTTAATTTTTTTGGCACAGAATGCCCTCAGGAGTAATAATAAATGTGTCTGTAGCGCAGCGAACCCAGTATGTCTCTGAGCACTACAGTATTGCACCTATTTAATATTGGGAAGTAGACACCGAGAGAGAGTCTCTGAATCTTTCCAGATCCTCTGGATATTCAAATCCTCTCACTTCTTATTTCTCACTCCTTATTCCACTCACCTTTCAGTTATCCCGCCACTCCAGTTTCTTTATTCTCGCCATTTCCCTCAATATTTTGCAGCTCACCTAAGATTCTCAAGCTTGACCAGCTTTAGTTAAAATATTCTGTCTAATGTCCGTGTAACAGGAGGAAACTGGAGACCCTCCTAACTTAAGTAACAAATATTTAAAGTAAACATTCTTTGTTTACTTGAAAAAAATGCTAATATTTTTCTTTTTTTTCCAGAGGGCCCGAAGTTGACTGTAGTTCACAGTGAAATTCTGGTTGCCCTTGGAGACACAACTGTAATGGAATGTAAAACCACTGGGATCCCACCTCCTCAAATTAAATGGTTTAAAGGTGCATTTTTCCCATCCATCTGGATCTATTTTGCTTGGTTTGGTTTATTTACTGAACAATGATATCTTATTCAATTACTTTGGTTTGTGACTTAATAGTGCTAAAAGCTGGTTTACTATCGAAGTGGTGACTAAACCATGAGGTTCTAATTTTGGAGATACAGCACTAGACCTCTAAGGTCTGATATATTACACTCTGTTTTACTGTTTTAACTCCATGGACTTTGTGAAGTTACACTAATGTAAAACGAGTGTAACAGAGTGGTGAGTCGAATCTTGTGTCTCCTAAATAATGGCCTTCCTACTTTGTAGAATGTTTAGATATATGTGACTAAAATCTCAAATGCATTTTTCTATGCTTGGTAATTGAACCTCCAACCCCCTCAAAAAGCCCAAGGAGCCCTTTACTTCTCCTGCCATCAAGATTTTAGAGACCCCCACTTTTGGAGTGGAAGGGCACTCAGAGAGTCATCATAGAGCTACATGAGGTTCTCCCTCACCCTCAGAAACTGAATTATGAACTCCAAGAAAAAAGGGTTTATTGTTCCATGCACAAAGGTGTAAACTTGAAATAGGCTGAATACTAGAAAAGACTTCAATTAAACATCCTGTGTTTTCTGGAATCCCAATAGCCCTGGTACATAAGAATTGCCCTAAAAGATCAGGCAGATGCATCCTCTGGTACATGTTTCAGTCTCTGATAGTGGTTGGTACCAGATGCTTCAGCAGAAGATGCAAAAAACTCCTAGTCAACTATTCTGCCCATAAGGAAAGTCTCTTCCTTACCCCCATCAGTTAGAGGTTGGCTTATTCACTGAAGAAAGAGGCTTTATAGCTCTTCTTAAAAAAGTGATTTTATCCAGTCTAATGTAATGGCGGATGTTCTCATTCTCTGTTGAATGGAAGCCAATGTATTTATCTGGGAGTGCATAATTAAATACAATCGAACAATGATGTAATCTCAAATTGGGAATGAAAAGGATATTTCTTTCATTGGAAACAGTTTTGGAAATACTCTGTTATTTCATGTTATCTTTTTTATGTGGACCTAGGTGACCTAGAGTTGAGGGCATCCATGTTTCTTATCATTGACTCTAATCGGGGTCTTTTGAAGATCCAGGAAACGCAGGATCTGGATGCTGGTGATTATACTTGTGTGGCCAGCAATGATGCAGGAAGAGCATCTGGCAAGATAACTTTAGATGTTGGTTGTAAGTATCCTGTATTTAAGTGCATTAACTGCCCATGATTTAAATGTTTCCATTTCCTGACATTGGAAAGACTCACAATTAGAGACCTAGGCTTCACATTAACAACTTAACCTGTGCTTATTAGTGAAGGGTTGTGCAGATCACTTAACCTTTCACTCTGTCAATAACACCAAACTCCATTCCTCTTTCACCTCCTTTCAAAAATGTCTCTGTGCCTTCTTCCATTCAGCTCTGTATACTTGGAATACTTTCCAGTGTAGTTCATCAAGCCAGCTCCCTTGCCTCATTCAAATCCTTCCTACAACTTTCCCTCCTCCTCACTTCTTTTTGCAAAGCTCATGAAAAGTGAAGGGAGGGGAAAAACATTCCCCCCCTTTTTTTTTAAAGCAGTGCAAGCATGAAGATGTGCACATGCCACACTGACCTGAATAACCACACAACATTATTGTCACTCTTGTCCTTCCTCTCCTCTTTCCCCAACCCTTTTTGGTCTGACAATGACACTGACTTGTTGTATCATGTTGAATATTGGCTCCAGTTCTGTAAGTTACTCTGTGGAGGCAGATCTTTGTGTCTGTAAGTTACTCTGTGGAGGCAGATCTTTGTGTCCATATGGAGTCCTGCTTTTGTCAGAGAGGCTCTTTGCTAGTGTAGAGGTCATCTCATGCAGTGTAACTTACAGGGCCAAGGTCTTAGTCTCTAAGCTCATTTGCACAGAATTGGGTATATTCTTGTTTCAGTGAGGTGCCTAGAATATTGTCGAATACCCCCAAAATAAATAAATGATGATGCAAGACTGCAGTTGCAAGGTTTTGCTAAATTTAGAACCTGCTATTTGGATATTACGTGCTCTATGATGGGACATATAATTGAAATTGTAGTTTAACCTAAACTGCAAAGGAAATATTAATGCCATGTTATTTCTCTGTTTTATGTTCTGTGTACTCCATCTCTTCCAGCTCTCCCAGTTTTCACACAGGAACCTAGTGATGAATCTGTGGATATTGGATCAAACGTGACATTGCCTTGCTATGTCCAGGGTTACCCAGAACCAAAGGTTAAATGGAGACGGTTGGATGGCGCCCCTCTTTTCTCCAGACCCTTTGCAGTTAGTTCCATCGGTCAGCTCAGAACGGGTGCCCTGTCTATTAACAGTAGGTAGACAAAAATCTATAAAGACAAGATCATAAAATATATACTGTATAAAATGTATTTATCAAAGTTACTGTAATGCTGTAGTATTCATTTTGCCTTTAACAATGTCAGTTTTTAGTACAGACTGTATCCATTTGACACCAAAATTCCACTGGCATTCTGGCGGCAGGGCTGAATGCACTTCAGTTACCATTTGAATCTCTTTGTATTTGAGTGAGAATAATGTCAGTGCCGTAGAAGTACAGTGTTTGGGGTAAAATTAAAATTTGGGTCCTGGCCAATTGTTGACACTAAAGATTCCATGGAATCTTTGCAAGAGAAGAGGATGTTAACTCCATTGTTTGTGCCAAGTCCTAGTTTGGGTAGCTATTGTACATTCTGCCTGTCTAATTTCTTCTTGCAGCTTCAGTTGGCTATTGTATTCTTCACCTCTTGTTCTAAACAGTTGTGCGGTATTGTTCTGCGTTGTTAAACAGCTGCCTTGTTCCCTCCCAGACAGCTATATTCTTAGGTGGGTGAAGTGATTCCAGTAGGTACTGTTTGTAAATTGCATTAAAATCCTTTGGGATGAAAAGCAGTATATATATACATAATGCGTTATTCCTCTTCAAGTTCTCTTATGTGGACATTGCTTCTCTCCATTGTGGCCAGTGATAAGGAATGGTCAAGTAAAATTATATTAAATGTGAAATATTTTTGCATTGCAACCTTTTAGTGCAAAACAGTTTAAGACAATGCAATCTCGTCCTTTTTCAATTTAATTTGTTTTTAGATTTGTGGGTCAGTGATGAGGGAACTTACATCTGTGAAGCTGAAAACCAGTTCGGAAAGATCCAGTCACAGCCGGCCACAATAACAGTAACAGGACTGGGTAAGGCGGGTTAACATCTCAGTCTAACCTAGCAAAAGGATTGACTGATAGAGGTTCTATAGCTGTAATATATCTGACCACTCTTTCGTTGGATATGAGCCCAAACCAAATACTTTGAATTGAAACATCCCCAAATTCTGATGGTATTTGAAATCTGATCCTGGAATTGAATCTGAACTTAGCAAATGCTCCCTCTTTTTATATTGGGCTGAACAAAAATCCTGAATGTGAATACTTCTGAATTTTGGGGTGTGGGAATTCCAGACTTGAATTAGGTGCTGTGAACCCATCTCTAATTTTTTGCCAATAATTTTATTTTTATATAAGAAGTAATTAATAAACAAGTTAATTTCTTCTGTGTCCAAAATAGAAGAATCAGTTTTTTAAATTAGAAGAACTAACTATGTTATGAATACAATTTTCTTTAAAATTAGAAATAATAAGCCTAATTCTGTGCTGATTTACATCCAGTGCAGACCCTTGAGTTCATTGGGGCTGCACAGGGGGTAAGCCAGTTCAGAATCTGGACCTTAGTGAGAACTATTCCTGTCCAAGAGTATAATTTATTTTCATACAAATTTGTTTAGAAGTTTGGGGCCTGTTCCTTGTTGGGGCCTGTTCCTTCCTTTGGGGCCTGTTCCTTCTCCCAAAACTCCCCTTAGTTTAAATAAGAGCAGAATTAGGCTCTTGGTTATGCCCCGATAGCCTTAAGCTTCTGTACTGAGTTCAACACCTTAAGGGACCCTAGGTAGGATTTTCAAAAGTGATTGAACTGGCCCACCACTTTTCCCATTGAAGGCAATGGTAAAACTGCCATTAACTTTAATGCGAGCAGAGCTTTTGAAAATTCCACCCAAATCTTCATGCATAGTTTTATGCACATAATCATTTGACAGAACTTGTACAAGAAAATAGGATGTGTACTTGCAAATCAGACGTGTGTATATATACTGTGATAGACCCAGACCAGTTGGGAACAGCAGAGTAGCAGAAGAGAGATATACTGGCCACTGGATAAGTAGTTTTCTGTTCCCTGAGTGACCAGAGCAGGAGCTGCTCCAGGCAAATAGACCACCTGACTCCAATTAACCTGCTAAGAGTCAGGCGAGGCAGTTAAGCACCTGACTCTAATTAAGGCCCCTCTGATGCTATAAAAGAGCTCACTCCAGTCAAGCCAGGGGGAGCCAGAGGAGAGGAAGTGTGTGTGAGGAACTGGGAGCAAGAGGTGTGCAAGAAGCTGAGAGTGAGTAGGCGTACAGCTGGAGGACTGAGAAGTACAAGCATTATCAGACATCAGGAGGAAGGTCCGGTGGTGAGGACAAAGAAGGTGTTGGGAGGAAGCCATGGGGAAGTAGCCCAGGGAGTTGTAGGTGTCGTGCAACTGTACCAGGAGGCACTCTAAACAGCTGCAGTCCACAGGGCCCTGGGCTGGAACCCGGAGTAGAGGGCGGGCCCGGGTTCCCCCCATACCTCCCAACTCCTGATCAAACACAGGAGTAATTGACCTGGACTATAGCTTCTACCAGAGGGGAAGGTCTCTGGACTGTTTCCTGACCCACAGGGTGAATCCGTGAAGCGAGCAAATCTGCCAATAAGTGCAGGACCCACCAAGGTAGAGGAGGAACTTTGTCACAACTGGTGTCAGGCGTGGGATTTGGGGTGCACAGCGCGGCAGAAGAAGGAGGGTGATTTAAAAAAAAAAAAAAGGAGAGGGTTTAATTATTTTTTCACCACAATGGATGACGTAGTGCGGGCACTGATACAAGCTACGGCGGCCCAGCAGGAGGCTACCCGTGTCCAGGCAGCCGCCCAACAGGAGGCAGTGCGGCTGCAGCAAGAGACTAATCACCTGCTGATGGACTAGGCTGCTCAAGACCGAGCTATGTTGCGAGAACTGGTAAGCCAGGTAAAGACCCTTACAGAGCTGAACCGCGGCCATGATGGGATGCAGCTCATACGGGCCAGCCATTGGCTGCAGAAAATGACGCGGGAGGATGATGTAGAGTCATACCTTTTGGCCATTGAGAGGACAGCCCTACGGGAGGCCTGGCCTCGAGATCAGTGGTCTGGCATCCTTGCCCCATTCCTGTGTGGGGAGGCCCAGAAGGCCTACTATGATCTGCCTGAAGAGGCTGCAGCAGACTACCCCCAGCTGAAAGCAGAGATCCTGGCCAGATCTGGGGTAACGACTGCAGTGCGGGCCCAGCGGTATCACGAGTGGAAGTACCAGGAAAACAAAACCCCGCGGTCCCAATTGTATGACCTCATCCATCTCGCACGAAAGTGGTTGCGAACTGAGTCCCGGAATCCGGAAGAGATACTAGAGGTTCTGGTCATTGACCAATACATGAGGGGACTACCACCAGACCTTCGCGCCTGGGTAAGCCAGAACGAACCCTGCACCTACGACGAGGTCGTTGCATTGGTAGAGAGGCGAAGGATGGCGAGGGAGCTGACCCGACCAGTTAAGGAAGAGGCCCCCTGGGTTAAATTAGGAGCACCAAGCCCCAAAGCTCGGGTGACTGGGCCACCAAGAGGGCCCAGGTGGAAAAAGAGAGGGGCTGAGGGCCCACTAGAGGCCACAAAGAGTCGAAGCACTGAGGGAGAAGAGGATCGGGATGTTAGACTGCCCAAACCAAGAGACCTGGGAATGCCTAGGGCTCCATACAGATGTTATGCCTGCGGGGAGTGGGGACACATAGCTGTACAGTGTCCCAGTGCTCAGGAGCCTATGCAGTGTAACCTGGGGAACTGGGCAGACCCATGCTCCCTAATCCACCTTGTGGGGGTCTCACTAACCCCACATATGTATACCAGACCAGTGAAACTAAATGGGGTAGAGACCACAGCACTGGTTGATTCGGGGAGTGCTATCACGCTTGTCTCAGGGAAGCTCGTGAAGCATAGTCAGCTGCTGTGGGCTAAGCATACGGGGATAACCTGTGTCCATGGGACAGTTGGTTATTACCCTACCATCCCAGTAAAAATCGAGATTCAGGGGAACACTACTGAGGTAGCAGCAGGCGTAGTCCCTAAACTCCCATACCCGGTGCTCATAGGGAGGGACTTCCCAGGGTTTGGAGACTTACTCCCGGTAAGGGGATTGGAGAAAGGGGGAAACCCTGAAATTAGTGAGGCATCCACAGTAGACTGTCAACCCCCAGTCTTCTCTGAAATATCCCCAGATTTGTTCTCCACTCCCAGGCAGGGTAGAAAGACAAAAAGGGAAAGGAGGGCAGCTAAGGCCTTGGGAACCTGAATACTGACCCAAAGCCAGAGGGTCGCTCTCGTAGGTAGGCGGACCCGAGTAGCTGAAAAGTAGGCCACCCAGGAGGGACAAGCACCCGAGTCTGACCCCCACCCTAAGACTTCTGAACCAGTAGAGGCAACAGAGACTGGCCCCCTAGATCTCGGGCAGATTAGCCCCGGGAGAGGAAATTTTGGACGGGACCAGGCAGAAGACCCAAGGTACGACAACATTAGGAAGGAGGTGACTGAAATAGATGGGGTCCCCGTGGAAGGGAAAACCCAGGGACCAGGACCCTACTTCATAATGAAGAAGGATCTCTTATACTGGGTTGCACCAGTACGGGGGCAGAAGGTACAGCAGATCCTAGTACCTCAAAAACACCAGAATGCTGTATTAAGTCTTGCCCATAGTCATCTTTTTGGGGGACATTTGGGGGTAGAGAAGACCCTGGCCAGGGTCCTACGACGGTTCTTCTGGCCCGGAGTGCATGAAGAAGTGCGGAGCTACTGTGCCTCCTGCCAGGAGTGTCAGCTGCACAGTCCCCGTCCCCACTTGAGGGCACCTTTAGTACCCCTTCCCATCATAGAGGTCCCCTTCGAGCGAATAGCCATGGACCTAGTGGGACCCCTGGAGAAGACAGCCCGGGGCCACCAATATATACTTGTCATTCTGGATTATGCTACTCGCTACCCAGAAGCCGTCCCCCTGCGAAACACGGCCTCTAAAACGATAGCTAAGGAGTTGGTGGGGATCTTTGCCCGAGTGGGGCTACCAAAGGAGATATTAACAGACCAAGGAACCCCATTTATGTCGAAGCTAATGAAGGACCTCTGTACGCTGCTCCGTATACATACCCTGAGAACTTCAGTCTATCATCCGCAGACTGATGGGTTGGTAGAAAGGTTTAACCGAACCCTCAAGGCTATGATAAGGAAGGTGGTAAGTCGGGACGGGAAGGACTGGGACACCCTACTACCTTACCTTATGTTTGCTATCTGGGAGGTATCTCAGGCCTCAACTGGATTCTCCCCCTTTGAGCTGTTATATGGGCGCAACCCCTGAGGCATCCTGGACATAGCCAAGGAAATTTGGGAGGAGGAACCCAGTGAGGGGAAGAACATAATAGAGCATGTGCTACAGATGAGGGACCAGAGAGCCCGGGTCACTCCCATAGTGAGGGAGCACCTAGAAAAGGCCCAAGAGGCACAGCAAACCTACTACAATCGTCAAGCCAAGGTTCGTCAGTTTCAGCCCGGTGACTGGTACCCACGGCCAAAAGTAAGCTGTTGGCCCAGTGGCAAGGGCCCTATGAAATAGTTGAACCCGTAGGGGAAGTAAATTACAAGGTGCGACAACCAGGACGTCGAAAACTAGAACAGATATATCATGTCAACTTTCTGAAACCCTGGCATACCCGAGAGGCATGCACAGTGGTTCGGGAAGACCTACACCCAGGGAACAAAAATCCTGGACAGGTGAGGGTGTCTCCCGATCTAACGACAGCCCAGAAGAAAGAGGTAACTGAGATGATCGCCCAATATCAAGATGTATTCTCAACAAAGCCGGGTCGCACAACTGGGACATATCATCACATCGTCACGAACCCTGGGGCCAGAGTAACAATGAGGCCCTACCGGGTGCCAGCAACCAAAAGGGAGGAAAAAAAAGCGGAAGTCAGGAAGATGCTGGAGATGGGGATCATTGAAGAATCTCACAGTCAGTGGTCCAGCCCAATAGTGTTGGTGCCCAAACCTGATGGCACCACGAGGTTCTGCAATGACTTCCGGCGACTAAATGAGATATCCCAGTTTGATGCCTACCCTATACCCCACACAGATGAATTAGTAGACCGTCTGGGGAATGCCCGGTACTTAACGACCCTAGGCTTGACAAAGGGGTACTGGCAGATTCCCCTAGCTGAAGATGCAAAGGAGAAGACGGCGTTCTCTACACCAGAGGGTCTTTTCCAGTATACGGTCCTTCCTTTTGGACTACATGGGGCCCCAGCTACCTTTCAGCGCCTCATGGACAAGTTATTACGCCCCCATGCCAGCTATGCTGCGGCCTACTTGGATGACGTGGTGATTCATACCCCAGACTGAGAAACCCACTTGAAGAAGGTGGGGGCGGTCCTTGATACCTTCAGGCGAGCTGGCCTTACGGCAAACCCTGTTAAGTGTGCTGTGGGGTTCACAGAGGCCAAATATCTTGGCTACGTGGTAGGAAAAGGTCTGGTGAAACCTCAACCGAATAAGTTAGAGGCCATCCAAAATTGGCCACGACCAAGTAGTAAGAAGCAGGTCCGAGCATTCCTAGGGGTGGTGGGGTATTACCGGCGTTTCATTCCCCATTTTGCCACAAGGACAAGTCCCCTAACAGACTTAGTGAAGGCCCGTGGTCCGGAACCAGTCAGATGGTCCGACGCAGCAGAGAGGGCATTTGCAGACCTACGGACTGCCCTCTGCAGTAACCCCGTATTGATAGCCCCGCATTTCACCAAGGAATTTATCCTTCAGACAGATGCATCTGAGGTGGGGCTAGGGGCTGTCCTGTCGCAGATGGCTGGGGAAGAGGAACACCCAATTCTCTACCTCAGCAGGAAACTCCTTCCGAGGGAACAAAAATACGCAGTGGTAGAGAGAGAATGCCTCGCCGTAAAATGGGCCATGGAAATGCTGCATTACTATCTGCTGGGGCACAGATTTGTCCTCGTGACCGACCATGCCCCTCTTCAATGGATGCAACGGAACAAGGAAAAGAACACAAGGGTAACCAGGTGGTTCTTATCCCTCCAACCTTTCCAGTTCCGCATACAGCACAGAGCAGGGAGTCGCCATGGCAACGCCGATGGCTTATCACGTGTACACTGTCTGGCGTCCCAAGCTGCCCAACCCCTTGGTGTTGAGCAGGGGGGAGGGATATGTGATAGACCCAGACCAGTTGGGAACAGCAGAGTAGCAGAAGGGAGATATACTGGCCACTGGATAAGTAGTTTTCTGTTCCCTGAGTGACCAGAGCAGGGGCTGCTTCAGGCTAATAGACCACCTGACTCCAATTAACCTGCCAAGAGTCAGGTGAGGCAGTTAAGCACCTGACTCTAATTAAGGCCCCTCTGATGCTATAAAAGGGCTCACTCCAGTCAAGCCCGGGGGAGCCAGAGGAGAGGAAGTGTGTGTGAGGAACTGGGAGCAAGAGGTGTGCAAGAAGCTGAGAGTGAGTAGGCGTACAGCTGGAGGACTGAGAAGTACAAGCGTTATCAGACATCAGGAGGAAGGTCCGGTGGTGAGGACAAAGATGATGTTGGGAGGAGGCCATGGGGAAGTAGCCCAGGGAGTTCTAGGTGTCGTGCAACTGTACCAGGAGGCACTCTAAACAGCTGCAGTCCACAGGGCCCTGGGCTGGAACCCGGAGTAGAGGGCGGGCCCGGGTTCCCCCCATACCTCCCAACTCCTGATCAAACACAGGAGTAATTGACCTGGACTATAGCTTCTACCAGAGGGGAAGGTCTCTGGACTGTTTCCTGACCCACAGGGTGAATCTGTGAAGCGAGCAAATCCGCCAATAAGCACAGGACCCACCAAAGTAGAGGAGGAACTTTGTCACAATACATATTTATACTAACTGAAATAGGAATATCTACATGGAACAGTGTAAACTAAAATCATTGAGTTTTGCACATTAGAATATTTTTTTTATCTTTTGACTTGCTGCAAGACTTGAATTAGTTCCAACTATACTTAATTAAATGGATCTTCAAAAAGGTACTTATCCTTAGTTTTGTTTTATCCTCCTCCTCTTAGAAAAGTTTGTTAAAGGCAGAAAAATCTTCATCATGAAAACATTTTGTGATGGGGAGAGGGAGAGGTTTCCTGCCATAATTTATCTTAAAAACTGAAGGTAGCAGGGGGAGTGCTCAAGGCAACTTCTTGATAAAATTGGAGTATAAGAAATCTCTGTGATTTAAGAAGACAGTGAATGTACAGTTTGTACAAGAGTTATCGTTAAGTAACTGGTTTTATTGTAGAGAGTAGGAAATGAAAATAATTAGACATAATGCTGTGAAATGTGTACGTTTGTAGGAGGAAGTGAATGGGGGTCCATCTATGCATCCAGTAAAGTGTTTATTATCTTAACCACATGTCAGGAATCTTTACATTCATAGCAAGCAGCATTTTATAAACAGTCAGTTTTTGACTTATCTAAACGTTCTGTTTAATCTCCGCTATTTCAAGGTCACTTTAAAAAGCAAACAAACAAGTGAAGCTGTTTATGAACTGGTAAGCAATATGTTAGATGTTTATTGGCATCCAGAACTTTCTGCCGGGCTGTTGACCTTTCCCATGAGACCTAATAGCTTGTGCTCAGAAGGGAAGTCACCTCTTGGTCATGGCTCTTGTGATCCTACCTATTTCTATTCCTAGAAATTCTGCTACCAACAAGAAATAAAAAAAAAATATTTTGGCTTTAGATCAATAGAATTTGAGTGTACAGGAAATGCAAGGTCAAGCCCAAAGGGAATACTGTTTTTATAGTTTTGAATGGACAATCTCTGACCTATGTTGACTGACTGTTTGCTCCAACCCCTGCACTCATTGTCTCTTCACTTCAGCTTCGCTTCACACCTGCCTCTCATGCTTTCCTCCTTCTTCTCTTCTCTCCTGTGCTGTGTCCTCATTGCCCTCATACCTTCATTGTCCCCCATCCCTTCCCTTGTCTTTACATTTAGCTAGTTGTCTCTTGACTGACCCTCTTGCCCCCCCACCCCCGCAAAATATATCTTGGCACTAACATGACATTTGCCGGCCATCACGTTGTTCACTCTGCCTTTCCTCTACCCTTTGTCTGTCTTGTATATTTAAATTATAAGGTCTTCTGTGTTTTTACCGTAGCTAGCGCAATGGGGCCCCATTCTTGGTTGGTCCTTAGCCACTATTGTAAATCATAATGATAGTAAGGAGTATTTCATTTTTTGCAAGCACATAGAAATGCCTAAATATCTTTTTTTTTTTAAATTCAAGTTGCACCTCTAATTGGAATGAGCCCAGCAGTAGCCAATGTAATTGAAGGACAGCAGCTTACTTTGCCTTGTGTACTGCTGGCTGGAAACCCAATTCCAGGGCGGAGATGGATTAAAAATGATATGGTGGTAAGACACTCTTTTTTTATTTTTATGTATAGTCTTGCAGTTTCATATTTCCTGAGGGAGAAAAATATGCATTTAACATTTTAAGGCATGATATACACTTAGCACAGTGTAATATAGCTACTGTTCTTAAGCAATTAATTTTTTTGTATGGGAGAAAAAAAGTTGAAAATAAAAGATTGCAGCAAATAATTGGTATTTCATCACTGAAGGAAGTGATCACACGAGAGTTCCATGTAAGAAATATATCTGTCAACGTTAAGGTTTGCTAGCCTGAGATTCCAGCTGATAGGAACAGAAATTACAATCCATAAAGGGGCAATCCTTGTGGAGACTCATTAGTCGATCATGTGAGAAACAGGCCCCTGGGTTCATTCCCTGATTCCAGGTCGAGCTTTCCAGCTGGGATAGTTCCTTCTGCCCTTTTGGGTATTCTCCCCAGAGGACGTGGCTGGGCCTGCGTTCTGCCCACATGGGTTTCTCCCTCAGCTGTCACTTCTTCCACAGTGTCCTGTCTTGGACCTTGTTCCCCTCCCGGAGGCTCTTGTAGTTCCTGGGGGCAGGGCAAGAAGAGCCACTTTTTGGGCGCTTTCACCTTGGCCAGCCTTCACCTCTAGTTGTCTCGGACTCCTGGCCCATCTGGTTTCCTTTTGGCATACCTGGCAGGCTGTCAGCAGCCATGTAGTTTTCCATTAAGCTGACCACTTCAGCCAAGGTCTCTAGTTGGTGCTTCAGGACCCATCCTCGTCCCCTGATGGGGAGTTTTGGGTGAATTTCCCCATCAGAATGAGTTCAGCAACCTGCTCCCCCATCCAGGTTTCCAGTTTTAGCCAGCACCAACAGTGCACCCTCAATCTCTGGGCCACCATGTGGGGCTGGATGCCAATGGATACTTCTCTTCCCGAAAGCAATGATGGTGCATCTCCTCTGAGGTATCAAAGTAATGAAGGATGGTTGCCTTGACTCTGGGGTAATCCTGGATGGTTGTTGGGTCGAGCCCCCAGTAGGCAGCCAGGGCGGATGTGGTCAGATGAGGGGCCAACAAGATGCCAGGGCCCATGGCAGTGCTACTGCTACTTGATCAAAGGTGGTAAGGAACGTCTCCAGGTCGTCACCATTTTTGTAAGCTTCATTGGCATTCGTGTGGCCAGCGGGGTGGGGTCCCTGTTGATGAATCCCATGAAGACAGGAAAAAGGACAGAATCTGTTGCACTAGGCATTACTGCTGCTTCTGTGGTTGTACTGCTAGGTCTCTAATTAATTGTTGCTGCTGTTGCACCATCTGTGGTTGCTATTGGAAGGCCAGCTGCTGCTGTTGCTATCGCTTCCGGTTTTCTGTAGCCAACTTTGATAAACTATCCAGATCCGTATTTTTTTAAACAAAGTCCCTTCTCCTTATACCAGAGCTGATCAGTCTAACCATATTCTCCTCCAGTTGTCATGAATCTGTCATGGTAGCACGTCCCCTTCAGGCTTTATGGGGAGTGCATGCACATGAGTCCAATTACTCCATCTTACCCCAGTGGGTGCTATAGGACATCTTTTTAGCAGGCCGGTGCTCACCTTCCAGCCAGAGCCTCTCAATTGTCTCATCTACTCTTTGTGTCCACCTAACAGCCTGTAGTTAGCAAAAGGGGTTAAGCAAAAGAAAGGCAAAGAAAAAAACCTCCATCCAGGATATGGGATATGAACAGCTCCCTCCGGGATATGGGCCTCTCTTTCTTCAGAGGAGTCCTGGGAGAATCAATGTCCACCTCAGTGTTCAGTGGGCTCCAGTGCCAGCCTCAGTTCTTCTCCACTTCAACTCAGGGGTCCTGCACCCTCTTTCTGCAAGGGCAGCGGCTCTGTAGGCTGTATGTCCTCTCTCCAGGGCTGTTGATGCTTAACAGTCTGTTCCCTTCCCATGGTTGCCCCCATCCAGGTCGAGTTCCCTCTTTTTACCTCTCCAGTCCTGGCACAATTTGCCAGTGTGAAAGGCCACTCCAGCCCAAAGCTCCTTGACCCCTTCCATGCTAATGAGCCTGGTCACAAGCCCCCATTAGCATTAACTGGAAAGCATGTTATGTATGTGTACTATGTCATAGAGTAAATACTCTTTTTCTGACTCCAGCACTAAAAGGTGCCTTATTTGATGTTACTGAAATCCTATTCAAAATATATTTCATGTGACAAGTGAAGGAATGTTCTTTTGTATGAACATGATTTTGAAAAAAAGAAAAGGCCTGAGTTATTAAACCAAAGCCACTGGTATCTGAGATACTTAGGGCTATAACACAAGTATGTATTTTCCATAGTTAAAACGTACTTTCCTCTTTCTCTAGTTGGTCCCAAATCCCTACGTTAATGTTCGCAGTGACGGGAGTCTGCACCTTGAAAGAGTTCGGCTACAGGATGGAGGGGAATATACTTGCATGGCAAGTAATGTAGCTGGGACAAATAACAAAACTACCACCATCAGTGTATTTGGTAAGGGAAATGGTCTCAGGGCTTCCATTTGTTTTCAAAATAAGGTTGCACTTTTTGGAAGCAGTAGCTTGTGGAGAGAACTTTTTTTTAATTTAAAATTACAATAATACCTCAAATTTACTGGGTGCAATGGAATTACAATGTGGAGTAATGCAATGGAGAATCTGGACCCTGCATATAATGCAGTTAAATGATCAAGCCTGCCCCTTTTGAAAAAGAGGTCAAAAAAGACTTTTGACATCCATAAAAATCTTTCTATTTAGTTGTCTACAAGTGATGGGTTTTGCAGACTCCCTTACTTTATTAACAAAACAGAGACACAAGTGGGAGTTTATTGGAGTACTATGCCAAGTGCTGTCTAAGAGGTTACATAACTATTAAAAGGGAGCACAACTCATGAGAGTACAGTGCTTAAAAATAAATCGTTTGGCAAAGCTGCATTTTTAATACCATCAAAAACGGCAGTTTCTCACTCACTCATGGTGAAATGAATGTTTGCACTGTAGTGACCCAGTAGTGTCATGGTCTGAAATTCTTACATGTTAAATTAATCAAGGGAGACATATTTTAAATTTCACTGAGAATGCTGGAACATCCTTTTCAGTACAAAATTGAGCACTGTACATGTCATTATTAGCCAATGCTTTGCAACTGTTTTGAGTTTGACAAACTCTCTCTTGTGAGCAGCTTTTTGGGAAGATTTTTCAGAACAGATTTGGGAACATGAGGTGGGGTGAAAAAGTTGGTATGTGTTGTTAAAGAGTCTAGGATATAAGGGTAGGATAGTGTAGGAATATGAAGCCTTTTGTCTCTGTCACTAAATAGGAATCAGGCCAGTTTGATAGTGAACTAAAGTCTTTATTATCTCTTGGCTGTTTGGGGTCTGTGGGAACTGATTTGGAGGTCTCAATCAAGTTGCTGCAAAAGCCAGTACATTCCCTACAAAAATCTTTACTAGCATTTTTAACAACTAAAGCTTGAATGAGCATGGAGAGTGACCTACCTCTTGCCCTGGGGCCTGGAGTGGTTTGTCCTAGAGAAGTTCCCCATTGATGGCAGTGGGTTCATCAGCAGATAAGCTGCATCCATTTTCACTGCAAGTGCAGAGGAGAACAAATCTTGCCCAGCACCATTTCAGAAAACCTTGCTTAAAACCTTCTTGGAGGATGTCCTAACCATGGCTTTCTGAAATGATGCTGAACATAGTCTGTCATGGTTTTACACATGTTCTGAAATTGTGTGCACCCAAACTAGTATTTAACTTGCTGATGACAGTCATTGTCAGCAACAGGTAATTTTTGTACTATAGACCACACCTTAGGGGCGGTAGCGCCAAGTCTGTGAGTCATTGAGGGCAGAGTGAAATTTCCCAACTCCTATTCTAATAGGTATTTTCAAGGCCCACTTTATGTAGATTGAGTCTTCTTTGCTGAATAGCAGTTGATTGGGTACAGAATACAGTGTGATAATTATACCATGGTTTAAAATATGTATCTGTGTGTATGTATATATTTTTAGTTCTACCTATCATTCAGCATGGACAGCAGATATTCAGTACAATTGAAGGAATCCCAGTAACATTACCGTGCAAAGCAAGTGGAGTTCCTAAGCCATCCATCGTCTGGTCCAAGGTAACTTCTAAACTTTGAGCTGTTTATGTTAAAAGATGAACGGAACACATGATTTAGCTATAACAGGAGCTATGTACAATGAAGGCAGCCAAAAACCTCTATCCTAAGGGACCTAGAAAACACTCTTTATTCGTATCTGCTTCTGTTTTTCCATGCAATACTCTCTGGCTGCGACACATTCAGCTTCCACACTTTGAAAAGCTAGGAAGACTTTATTGGTTATCTCTGGATCCTTTTTTTTAAAAAAGCCTTGGAAAATGTATATATAATTATTGTGGTTTGAAAAATTAGGGATGGGCAAACTGCCATAGATTGAGAGTTCAGATTCATTTTGGAGGCTTATTTAAAGTGAATTTCTGCTCTGAAAAGTGAGTATGTAATAATGGCTTCTTCGGGGGACATTATGTAACTGATTGGAACTCAGTAAACAATTCTGTTCATGGTATTCAAGAAGGAATAGAGTCCAGTTCAGTCTCTCTCAGCTGTGTTGGCTTTACAAGGCTAATGGGAGTAAAAAGCAATAAAAGCTTATTTTTGTCATTAAACTTATTAAATATGATTCTTGATGCACATAGGGAGCAGACCTTTTGAGTAAGAAGGTGTCTTTTTAGTCTTATTTCAGATTAGAATGACAATTTAAGACATGGTAGAAGTCTCCAAATCTCTTGAGCCTCCAGAATTAGGATGGAAAGCTCACAAGGTTTTCTGTTATGATTCCCTGCACTTGCACTCATATTGCTTGCTGAAAAGAGAAGCAAAGGGTGGCCCCAGAAACAGTGTAGAACATTATCCAGATGTTTCAGAATTTCTGGTCATTCCTAATACGGGTGACGTTTGGGTCAGAGTTCTTATGGCATCCAAGCTATTTTGTTTTCATCTCTGCTATAATCATTGGGCCTGCATTCTACCCTCAGTTACTATTCTGTTGACTTCAGTAGGATTGCCTGGAGGTTGTATTGCTGTTATTAAGGGCAGAATTTGGCCTACTGAATTATATCAAATATGTGGATATTACATATTCCTCAACATAAAGTTTAAAGCAGCAGTGTCGAATTGAAGTCTGTTGTCCCAAATCAAGTACTCAGATCCTTACTTATATACAGTGAGCCAAATTCTCTTCTCAATTATGTTGGTGTTATCCAGTCAACTTTAATGACACAGGTGAAGCTGAAAATCTGTATAAAAGAGACATATATCTGTATAAATGAGTATTTGTAGATAGTTAATATAAATACATGTAAGGCATATAAGAATATGTACCATTGTTCATAAGTTTGAAAGTTACATAAAGTTATTGTGCATTACAAGTAGCTTCCTGAGTGCTTTCTTAGCCTGTGTCAGAAGTCCAGCTCTTAAGGGGGCCTTACACCTGGAACATATTTTGGGGGATGAGTTTAATTATTCAACCGTTTGAGATGCAGTTTGAGGTGTACCTATCAATGACTGTTTTCAGATGAGGGGAGGGGAGGAAGCAGTGGTGGATTGGACTAGATCGGGGTGGGCAATCTACAGCCCGCGGGCCGAATCCGGCCCATCAGGGCTTTCAATCTGGCCTGCAGAATTGCCAGCCCCATGGCGCAGCGGGGCTAAGGCAGGCTCCCTGTCTGCTCTGACCCCACGCCGCTCCCGGAAGCAGCCGGCACCATGTCCCTGCGGCCCCTGGGGGAGGAGTGGGTGGGTGGGCAGAGGGGTACGTGCGCTGCCCTCGCTTGCAGGAACCACCCACCACAGCTCCCATTGGCCAAGAACAGGGAACGGCAGCCAACGGGAGCTTCGGGGGTGGTACCCACAGGCGAGGGCAGCATGCGGCAGAGCTGCCTGCCCCACCCCAATTCCCAGGAGCCACTGCCAGACATGCTGCCCACTTCCGGGAGCGGCGCGGGGCCAGGGCAGACAGGGAGCCTGCCTTAGCCCTGTTGTGCTTCGCTGCCACCCCAGAGCCTCTCAAGGTAAGCAGTGCCAGGCCAGAGTCTGCATCCCGCACTCCTCCTGCACCCCACACCCTAACCCCCTGCCCTGAGCCCCCTCCTGCACCCCCACCCTGAGCCCCCTCCTGCACCCCAATCCCTTGCCTTGAGCCCCTTCCTGCACACCGCATCCTCTCCCACACCCCGCACTCCCTCCCACAGCCCAACCCCCTGCCCCAGCCCTACATTCATGGCCCTGCATACAATTTTCCCACCCAGATGTGGTCCTCGGGCCAAAAAGTTTGCCCATCCCTGGACTAGATGAACTGTTCTAAGCTACTTTTAGCCCTAACAAGTTTGATACTTCTCATAATTTAAATGTTTCTGTTAGGCTTCATTTTATCTTTGGAAGCTTTGATTTCTATTTGATCAAGCACTTGTACATTGCTATTTTTTCTGAGAAAATTCATAGGGTTTTTATTATTATTTTTATTTTGCACAGAAAGGAGAGCTGATTCCTCCCAGGAATATGAAATTTTCTGCTGGGTCTGATGGAAGTTTGTATGTAGTTTCACCAGGAGGAGAGGAGACTGGGGAGTATATGTGCACAGCAACAAATGCGGCTGGTTATGCAACACGGAAAGTCCAACTAACTGTTTATGGTAAGTATAAGTTAAAACCAAACATATTTAGCCTCCAACAAGCTCTGTTTTCAACTACAAAATGCACTCAGTTGGAAAATCTGAAGTGAAACTCAGGTTTACCAAACTTCCCATTAACCAATATCTAATTGTGGCCCCCAGGGTTGCATGGTAGTGAGATTAAAGGGATTATGCTCCAAGAAGTATGGTTCCTTTAAAGCAGTCTGGTTTGTACAGTTGTCTGGCATTCACTTCTTTGAGCTCTTTGACTGGGGACCTCTGGCCTTATTCTGATTTCATTTATACTGGGGTAAACTGGCAGAAATTCTACAAAAGTTAATGGAATTACACCTTGTGGGAGAGAAGAGTGAAGCCCTTCGAGTTCCCCTTTTGATGCTTTCTGACCATCTCTCACTATCATCTGAAACCCTGTTTACCTGAAGGTTTGGACTATGCTCCAGGATAGTAGGATAAATAAATTTGGATTTTTGTATACTGAATATGATGTAGGATAGTCTAATCTGAAAAAGTTTAATTTACAACACATTATTTTATTTTACACATGTATAAATAGACAACATATTTATTTCACTTTATTAACATGTTTTTTATTTTAGTGAAACCCAGAGTGTCCAGGCCTGGAAACCAGCAAGGAGGTACATATGACAAACCCATAGAGATTTCAGTGACTGCAGGGGAAGATGTCACACTTCCATGCGAGGTGAAGAGTTTGCCACCCCCCATAATTACCTGGGCCAAAGAAATGCAGCTTATCTCTCCATTCTCTCCAAGGTAACAAAATGTGATAGAAACAAAACAAAATGCAATTTCTTCTAAGCTCTCAGGTTTTTGGAAGTTTTTATTTTTTTGAACTGCCTGCTCCATTCTGATGAGTGAGTAAGGCATTGGAAAATCTGTACTTCTGTGTCAGCTGGATTTGAAATTCTCATTCCCAAACTCAGCACATTATTCACCTTTTTGAACTGATTTTTTTAGGCTTTCCTGTTGTTGGCATTTTATAATTTTTTCCCAGGCTCTCAGATTCTGCTCTTGGTTCCTCCAGTGTAACACCAGAATTAGTTTATTGTGGTCACTGGACTAACTCTGCATTTACACTGGGAGGGGGCGGGGCGGGAGGGTGGTTAGAGAAGTGAGAGCAAAATCCATCTCTTAAATTCTACAGGCCTGTTAAAATCCCACCATGGTCTTTGTTGGCCTCTATATTCTGTACAATACTGTGTTGTTTTGTCTAGCATATTTCTTACAACATGTATCACAAAACACTCATAGATGTAAATAAACCAATTTGAAAGAGAGCTTTTAATCCTCGTGGCTGTCTTTTAAAGCTCTGAACATTACTAAAGCCATATTTCAGTCATGGTAGTACATACCGTACTCCAATATGCATTTATAAGCAAAAACAAGCATTAGAAGTCAGCACAATGTTTCACTCCTCAGGAGGCCAAGTCCAAATAGCCTTCTGTACACAGACACCTCATTATTATGATTTAATATTTATTTTATGGTGGCACCCAGAACTGATCATCTGTGCTTGATCTTAAATCTTTAAAAGTTCCATTTTATTTTACGGTTATATGTTTCATCGCTGAGTTATGGGGAGAATTGTCTGTATTATATGAAATATGAATTCCTAATAGAATATGAATGACTGTTAATGTTTAAAACTGGTTGCAGGCATCTACTTATTGCCATTGTATCTTGGATTCAGAAACTCTCCAGCTGCTTTTAAAAATGTGAAAACATATTAGTTTAGGGCTTATGAAAAGTGTTGAACTGGCTGCCCTGGAGACTTAAGTTCTTTGTCTGCCCATCAGTTACAGCATGGGCAGCAGTGGTACAAGTTTTCCTCATGATGCCCTGTTAAGGTACCTCAGTCCTTATGTGCAGGGACCATCTTTAGGGCTGAGATGGTTTATTCCCCAAGTTAATTCTGGGCCAGATTGTGCCCCCACTCTTGTGGTGTTGTACAAGATTGGGGAGGTCCGAAGGAGGCATTTTCTCCCCCTGTATCCCCAGCTAAGGGGTAGGCACAGTTTCAGTTCCCCTGAATAGAGGGCCTGCTAACACCATCAGGGCCCCAACCCACCTGAAAAGGGGGCATGGACCTGTCCCCACCACACCAGCCAGAAGAGCTGGCCAGACATAGGGGAGAGCATGCTGTGCCCTTTTAGAACCTCCCAGAGACTGCCACGCAGTGGGGTGAAGTCTCAGCCCCCAATATGGGCCAGTGCCTTCGGGTGCATATACACTGCAGGATTCTTTCAGTGGCATGTAGTATCCATACACACACAGCCCCCCTAGTACGGATATAAATAGTAACATAGATGGTGAGGCATGGAGTAACCCAGTAAAGACATGGCTGAAAGGTGTGAGTATGTACCTGGGGTACATATCCTACATGTTCTTTACTGGCCCAAAGCATGCCTCCTGTCTATGCTGCTGTCTGTGCTGTAGTGTCCTGCTACTAGAGCCTTTCCCTTCACAGGAAAAGGCTCCAGCAGCGGGGAAAGGGTCTGGCAGCTCCCCTCTGTTGGAGACTACCTCCTCCAAAGGGAAATGTTTGAACAGCAGGGAAGCTCCCTGTTGCTGGTTCCCTTCTCCACAGCAGGGAAAGGCTGTTAGCTCCCTCCTGCTGGAGCTCTTCCCTGCCACAGGGAAAGGCTCTGGCAGTGGAGAAAGGCTGTGGCAGGGGCGGTGGCTCAGCCTTTCCCTGCAGCCTCCCCTCTGCCACAGCATGTCCTGTTGCTGCAGTGAAAGGGTCTGGCAGTGGGGAGCAGCTGAAGCCTTTCACCGCTGCCTCCCCTCTCTGTCAGAGCCTTTCACTGATACCTGTAGCTACACACTGCAGTGTCAACAGGGTGTGCTTTTCACTGTGGCCTGTAGATGTAGTTGCACCTACGCTGCACACCGTAGACATGGCCTTAATGACAAAGTCTGGCCCTCAGATTTTGCCCTTTCTCCTGAGACTGCAACAGTTAGAAATTCCAGTTGTGCTGGTGGTTTTTGTAATGAGTGCTCTTGTGTATGGGGAGAGAATTTATTTGTAAATTTTTGTATGGTTGCTGTAGCAACTCACACATATTCATTTTTGTTCACATCATCCCTTTGAAGTAAGGAAGTATTACTATCCTCATTCTACTCTGAGGCACAGAGAAATAAAGTTACTTGTTCATGTCACTGAACCAGATGTGCAAAATGGAACCCAGCCTTCCTGACTCTCTGATTAGTGCTTTAATCACAAGACCATCCTTATTCCCTAGATGAAGTGGACTTCACCAAATGGACTAAACGTGAGCAATCAGTTAATAGCAACTTTCTGTTGCTGCTGATTTGGGCTGACCTGGAGCCTGTGACTTACGTGAAAGGTTACATATCTTATTACCAATCCCATGAATCACACATTCCTCAAAAAGTTTGTTTCCAGTAGAAAAATAACAGGATTTAAGAAGTCCTGTGAGTATCTGGAACACCTACAGTTTGTCCTGTGGATCCTGCCATGTTTCAGATGATTTGCTTTGTATTCTGAATTTATGGATTCAGTAATGAGTTAGGAAAAATTTAGGAATGATAAATCACAATTATAGTTAAATAAAAACCTGCTCAACTGAACGAAATGTCATGCTAAACAGGATTATTTTAGTTCATGGCAGAGCCGTCCCTACCCATACGCAAAGTACGCAGCTGAGTAGGGCACCAGGAAATTTGGGGCAGCTGCGTGCTGCTCCAGCCCCTGCCCCACCCCCATGGCTCCGCCCCTGCTCCGCCCCAACCCCCCTCCCCACTCCACCCTTTCCCCAAAGCCCCCACCCCTGCTCTGCCCCCGCCCCACCTCTTCCCGCGAGGGGGCTGTGTAGGGCCCCAGAATAGCTAGGAACGGCCCTGGTTCATGGTATTTATTAGTAATGTCTAAGTAAAGCTCATTCTTCTCTCAATAAATATTTATACAGTTATACATGTTTCCTATTTTTCCAGACACACCTTCCTTCCCTCAGGGTCAATGAAGATCACTGAGACGCGAGTTTCAGACAGCGGAATGTATATCTGCGTGGCCACAAATATTGCTGGGAATGTGACTCAGTCAGTAAAGCTAAATGTATATGGTGAGTTATTTGACTACAAGAATAATCCCTTGTGGAGATTATACTAAGGAAGCAACTGGAATTGAAGTGCCTAAACTTTTTCATAGGGTGAACCACCTCTCATAGGCATCTCCCTGTCTCATTTAATATCACATGGACCACACCCTCCTCCCATTTGCTATCACATAACCTACTTCCTTCTCTTCTCTTAATGTGATTTAGAAAGTGGAAATCTGGAGGAAATATAGCACCATATGATCAGTCTGCCCTCCTTGAACTACCGGAGCTTTATGGGCTGAGAACTGCTGTTCTAATGCAAAGTAGCCAGAATGTCCACAAATATTTACAAAACTTTCATTAATATTTACCAATCCAGGGGGCACACAGAATCTACTTGCCTGCCTTTTCTCATGGTGGTATAGTATAGTGGAAAAACTAATGATATTTCAGTTGGGCATCAAAAAATTGCACAGACTCCATTGCAATGTTGAGATACTGGTAAGTATTATAATGGCAAGGGCTGCAGTCTTGTTCATGTGGTATATTGAGAAGTGTGCTGGAATTGCAAGCAATGTGTGTGTGTGTGGGGGGTGTGTTCCCGGTTCTGCTTGCAGGCTGCAGGACTCTATAGGAAAACATGGAATCACAGTCAGTTTGTAACCATCCATCCTAGAGAAAGATGGGGTGAGTTGCTAAGTTCCCTCTAAGTCGCATGGCCATGCAGCAGCCTATTAAGTGGCGGGGAGAGATGCCTCTCCCCTAGCCCCGGACTTGCCACGGTGCCCCTCCCCCAGCCCCGACCCAGCCCGGCCTGGACAGTACCGGGTTTATAATGGCACCAGGCCCACACTTAGCAGGGGCCCTGTGGCCTGGCCCTCCACTTCACTTGCGCTGCAGCCCAGCAGCTGAAGCGCTGGCTCCTCTCTGGCCCCTCCCCCATGCGCCTCTAGGCCCGCTGGCCCAGGGCTGCTCCTCCTCGCTCGCGCCCCCCCCCCCCCCGGCTCCTGTCAGCTGGCCGGTTGAGGGCTCCTCTCTCTGTCCCCACCCTCCATCAGCAGCAGGCAACAGCCGCCAGCTGCCTGCCAGTGATGGGAGTGGGGGGGGTGGAAAGGAGCCCACAGCTGCTGCCACTCCTCTAGCCACCGGTGCGGGACCGTCTGCTGCTTCGGACTCACCCGGGGAACCCAAAGCGGCAGACCGTCACTGGTGTCCCGGACTGCAGACGGACCTGCTGTGACCTGGGGAGAGATGTCCTGACCCCAGCCCAGACCTGCCATGGACGGGGAAGAGGCGCCCCAACCCAGCGCTGGCCCGGACCTGCCACGGACGGGGAAGAGGTGCCTATTCCATAGCCCCAGCCTCGGAACTGCTGCGGCGGGGAGGGGCGCCTCTCCCAGCCAGACCAGGTGCTGCTGTGGGGAGAGAGAGCTGGGAGGAGTCCTCTCACTCCACCGTAGCCCCGGGGCAGCCTGCACCTCAAAACCCTCATCCCCAGCTCGCATCCCCAGCTGGAGCCCTCACCCCCCGCACCCTAACTCCCTGCCCCAGCTCCCTCCTGCACCCCAAACCCCTCATCCCCTCCTGCGCCCCAACCCTCTGCCTCAGCCTGGAGCCCCTCATCTTCAGCCCCACCCCAGAGTCCTCACCCCCCTGCACTCCAACCCTCTGCCCCACCCCTTAGCCACCTCCCATACTCCGAACCCCTCAGCCCCACCCCTGCCACATGAATTTTGTTATGTGCACCAAAATGGAGGTGATATGTGACTCCATATTGGTGCACAACAAAATTCATTCCGCACATGTGTAGGAAAAATTAGAGGGAACATTGGTGAGTTGTGCCTCTCTGTTTTAGAGAGCAGCCTGCTTTGTCTTTCTCTGGTTTGGGGTTCATGTGTGCTACTGTTCTGAATTCAAAGAAATAAAGTAGTAGCATGAGTATATACATTATTTTATCTAAGTTCTCTCTTTTTATCTAACTTCTCTGCCATGAATATAACAGTTAATTGTTTCAGAGATTCCTTATATGTAGGGCTGCAGTTTGTCATGGTGGTGAAAAAGTCATGGATACCATGGCTTCTTTGTCCACAGCTTCCATGTAGGAAGGCTCTAGGTGGGTTGCTCACTGGCCAATGTGGAGGGCAGGCCCAGGGAAGAGGTGGGGTCGGAGAGTGAACCTGCCTCACACTCATCCTGCAGCCTCAACCCATGTCGTGATAGGGCCGTGACTGGGCCAAACTTGAGTGAACGGTATTTCAGCAGAGAGGCAGCAGGCGCTGTGACCCAGTGTGCCAAGGCACAATGCCTGGAGTGGGGAACCAGGCCTGGGACCCAGGAGCCATGGCTGCCCATGCCCTAGATGAGCATGGGGCTGGCTTGCTCTCAACACCTAGCCCTGCTGGGCACAGGAGCTGCTGCTGCCCAGGGTGAGTGCAGGGTGGACTCACTCTCAATCCCAGGCCCAGCTCCATGGGACACAGGAGGAGTTGCCACTTGCCTGTCCTGTAGGTGTGTGTGAGGCAGGCTCCCTCTCAATCCCCGAGCCGAGCCCAGCCCCATGGATCACAGGAGTTACCACTGCCTGTGCCCAGGATGAATGCAGGGTGGGGTCTCTCTCGAAGCCACTCTCTTCCCCAGGGCCTCTCCTCCTCACCAGGCTGGAATTAGGGTTGTAGTACTGGAGCAGAAGGTGATGCTGGAGATGCTGTGATTTTGAAGAGATATAGTTGAATTTTATTTATCGGGGGCCTTTTTTATCAAATATCCAGGAACAGTCACTAAACCCATGACTTTTACTACATTTAGTGTGGCTGCTCTGTTATTTTTGATTAAAAATTTCCATGACAAATCTGCATCCCTACTTGAGTCTTTTTATCTTTAGTGATTCCTATAAAGAAAAGCATTGGGGCAAGGCCGTTATAATGTTGATTTACCATGCTTTTATTCTTTGCGATCAGCAAAAATCTATTCCAGCCACATTTTATCTTCTTGTCTGCATTTAGCCTAGAAACATAGAATCTCAGGGTTGGAAGGGACCTCAGGAGGTCATCTAGTCCAACCCCCTGCTCAAAGCAGGATCAATCCCCAGACAGATTTTTACCCCAGTTCCTCAAGGGTTGAACTCACAACCCTGGGTTAAGTAGGCCAATGCTCAAACCACTGAGCTATCCCTCCCCCCATACATAGTTGGGATTAAGAGGAAGGAAGTTAGAATGTTAAAGAGCAAATGTAATTGACTTTATCTTAAAACTTTTGAATTGTTTTGTACTATGGGCAGCCAGTACCCAGGAGTTCTTTAAAATGTGCTTGGAAGAATGAGGGTACAATACTTCTTTGGAAATAATGTTTTAGGATTTTAAATGTTGAGTCTCCAAATGACTTAAGCAATGGCGTACTGTAAATCTTGTCTTCAGGAACATTCAGTTCTGATTGCTTGATGTTACTTAGGGACATTAAATTGCATTGGGCAAGGGAAAGGTATTTTCTAAAAGGATAACACTGACCATATTTCCTCCATGAATAGTCTGCCAGATCTTCTTTTTCTCATTACCATTGATTTATTTGTCTTGCCTAGTTCCTCCAAAGATACAACGTGGGCCTCGAGTTATGAAAGTACAAGTTGGTCACAGAGTTGATATACCGTGCAATGCTCAAGGGATCCCTCCCCCAACAGTCACCTGGTTCAAAGGCAGAAATACCATGCTAATAGATGGAGGACAGTATATCAGCAATCCGGATGGAACACTGAGCATCAGCAAAGTCCAGCTTTCAGACTCTGGAATCTACAAGTGTGTTGCTAGTAACATAGTTGGCAGTGATGAATTGGAGATAACGATACAAGTTCAAGGTATTTATAACATGGCCTGAGTCTTGGACATACAGCAGTGATCAAGTGTAGCTTTATTTTAATATATGATATACCTTGTGTTGTGGGGGAAGATAAACTGTTGCACTTTCAGAGAGGTAGACTCAGTGTTTCAGAGGATCTTTGATTCCACTGACCTGTAACTGATCCTACTTAGGAAACATATCACTAATGACACTGCTGCCTGACCCAATATCAAAATCTACATACGTTTCAAATGCAGTAATATGATGTGATTGTTTTGAGCAGGGGGAGGCACAAAGAAACATTAGATAGTTTGCAAAAATATGAAACAAAACAAAACTTTTTAATTCTTTTAATTTTGAAAGGGACTTTCTTGTGGTTGGTTGATATTACAAGGAGGATCAAAATCAGCCTTAACTATGGTGCTCCAAAAACACAAACCTCTGTCACTTGAGCTAAAGGAACAGGTCTGTTAGCTGTACATGTAGGAGGATTCTTGTTCCTTTTAAAATGCAAACAGCCAACAGTGGGCAACATGTTCACGCAAATATAATGTCTGAGTCTTCCCTCACTTACTTGCTTTACATGGATACAATTCCATTGACTCCAGTGGGGGTACTTCTCATTTTATAGTGGTCTTAAAGCCCATATTCTGAGCATTAACACTGCTTTGGGTTTGGCCCATAATTCCTATTTAAAACAGTGAAACAGGATTGGGTTCAGAACAATCTACAACAAAAAATGTTAATAACTTTGCTTAATTATGAACTATTTTCTTCAGATACACCGAGCACGTGAATTTTCAAGGAAATGGAAGACAGAAAGTCAGAATGGGTATGATGGTGTCTTTGAGCTACAGGAAGACAAAGAAACATTAAGAGAAGAATCAAAATTTCAAAGCAGGATAATTCTTTTAATGATCTGTAGCTCAAAAACAGTTTGTCCAATTTCCATCAAATTTTGCAGAAACATCCTCTGCCTTCAGAGTAAATATAGCAATTGTCAGAGCAAACCAATTTGGACTAGATTCTGAAATCCTAATTCACACAGAGTCATAGTTTACTGTTTAAGTAGTCCCAGTGAAATAAATGGGACTGCTGGAATACTACCATCTACTGAGTGTGTGTAAGGATATGAGAATCAGGCCATTTGAGAATGGGAAGGAAAAAAGAGGTGTAAATTGCCTGTGTACATAGTATGTTTTGACATTTGAGAGGAGGGACTAAGATTATTTACTCTGTTTCTGCTTTTCTTTTAGAACCTCCTACAGTAGATGATCTTGACCCTCCTTACAACACTCCATTTCAAGAAAGAGTTGCAAATCAACGCATTGCATTTCCATGTCCAGCAAAAGGTGTGCAACACTGTAACCATTGTGGCTGATAACTATATTTTTTCTCTTAGGCACTCATAGTTGCAATGCATCTTGGTGTTTTCTGGAAAGGTAAAAATGTATAGTCCTTCTTAAATACAACATCTCACCAGGATATTAAAATAAAAAAAAACCTTAACAGTAAGAAAAAGGGCCATTGATACTAAGTAATTTAACTAATTAGGTAGTATATTTTTGTAGGACAATGACAGTGCAAGAGTTCTTCGCATTGCCCAATGGTTGGAATGGCAGGGACTACCTCTAAGCATGAAGGAGAGTTCAGTCCCCAAGCCCTTTTAGCCAGTTGTGCCAGTTCGAACTGCAGTGTGTTTTATGATTTACAGAAGCTGCAGCAAAGATTTTTCTTACTGTACATTTTTATCCCATGCACTGCTCTAAAGTAATATCAATCCTTCTTTTTTCAAATTAAGCAAGAAGTCTCTTGAAGTTCTATAAATTTCTCTCATTAGGCACCCCAAAACCTGTCATCAAATGGTTACGTAATGGCAGGGAGCTGACTGGCAATGAGCCAGGCATTTCAATTTTGGAGGATGGGACACTGCTTATCATTGCTTCAGTTACACCGTACGACAATGGAGAATACATCTGCCTAGCAGTGAATGAAGCAGGAAGCACAGAAAGAAAATACAATCTGAAGGTTCATGGTAAATAACTATAGCTCTTAAGGGTAATTTTCAAAAGGACAGTTTCTCCTTTGTTTTTGTAAATTGCACACACACAATGTGTGCCTGCATTTTTGTAGTTGTGGGAGCAAATCTGAGTATTTGTACCTGTAGCTACCTGATTGATTGTTAGTTCTGTTTACTTATGCTTAATGCAGAACCAACTTCTGTTTACACAAATAACCAAATGATTATTGTAGACAACTATAAATTTACATGACACTTGGTAAACATGTAAAAGACCAGGTGTTTGCCCCCAAAGAGCTTATAGAATAAGTGCTAGATATGCCCCTCTATTATTGCAGGAGAGGGGAGTCATTGCTCGAAGAACTTAGCATAGAATGGAGAAGCAGCTGCTCCATGACATTCTCCCCTCCCCACCCCACAAAGCTCCTACCACACCACCTGGTAGGGGATCTATTACAGCATGTATCAGGAGACAGTGGACCGTCATAGCACCTACTCTGTGTAGTGTACTTCCATCCTAACCTGGTTTATTTCCAATAGGAAATTCCCACAGGAATTAACACAGCCCCAAGCAGTGTTAACTCCCCCTCTGTGTCTTCTACTCTATTTAGCAGGGGGAGGTAGGGCACAGGCATGCGCAGAGAGCCTATGGTTACCTCGCTCCCTCAGTATCATTCTTTCAGAGGAGCACCATAGGCAGCTCTGTTTCTAGTGCAGTTACCATGGGATCCATTAGGATGTTGCCTGCTTTCCCTATAGACCATAGGCTCTGTGGGGTTCCAGGCTGCTCCTTGATATTTACAAGGCAGCAATGTGGAGTTCCATCCACACACTCATGAGACATTACACCTTGGTCCAATTCTCCTTTGGGACAGCGATTCTACAAGCAGCTATACCACCTGCATCCTCATAACCTCATCCTCTCTGAATTACCCACACTGGAATATGTGTGGACATATGGACCATCACTCCAAGAAGAAAGGGAAATGATTTACCTTATTGCAACTGGAAATGTTCAGTATGTATGGTCGCCATCTATATTCCACTACTCATCCTCCTTCCCCTCTGCTTTGGATCATGTCTGATTATTTGGTCTGCACTGCCTCTTAAACCGTTGGCAGAGATTACGAGGAGAGTAAGGGACACTACAGAGCAATAGACATTACTTGGAAGAATTTTCCAGTCTCTGGCATGTGGAGCGCATGCATACCCACAGTGGAATACAGATAGGGACCATAAATCTCAAAGCACTTTGGTTACAAAAGTAAGTAACTTCCCTTTATGCCTATACAGGACAGGAGCAGGCATCATGCCTCCAGCTGCATTTGTAGAGAGAGTGATCACTAGTGGCCATTGCTACACCTCTGGAAAAGGTGTAGCGTATACTTCCTCCAGTGCAGCTCTGCATTCACAAGTCAGTGTACAATGTGAGGGACCAGAATCATGGTGATTCTCCAACCCCCTGGAGGTAGGCCCCTTCTGGGACACTGAGCACTTCCAGTATTGTTAGTTGGGACTCCCTCATTCCCGAGAGCATAGAGGAGGAAGGGTTTCCTTACACCCTTTCCCACAGTGCATCTGTGCTGGGTCAACCATGATTATTATTAGCAATGTGTCAAATTAAAATAAAGGATTATACTTAAACCAATAGGAAGAAGGAAACTAAGTGACAAGGGTTCTATTGGAGTTTGTATCCTGTCTAGCAAGTATCAGCCTGATGAAAGTGCCAAAGTAAGATCTTAGTTAGAGAGCCTCTCACCTGGCTAACCTCGACATTCTCTTCTTCTTAAAATAATACTGAGACTTCTTTATAAAAAGGATCCCTTCCTCTTGCAATGAAATCATTTTTTTCCCCAAAGAAAATCTTCATCCCCAGAGAAGGGTCACACTAAATGGAACTGCAATTGGAATGCTGCAATTCATTGAAACGATTTAGGACTTACATTGTATTTAGCTGTATCTGAGTTCACTGTACACAGCTTCCACTGTAATCTACCTTTGATAACTTGTACAGTGAGACAGCTTTTAACCTAACACAGTTTGATATGAGGTATTAACCCCTTTACTCCAACACAGGTTTGATGACACAGACATTAACAGACACTTGACTATAGCATAAAGCTATTACATGTGCATTAATAAATACCAGCTATAAAGAAAAACCTGACATGATGAAAATAATGTGCAGAACTTTAAGACAACATGTTGGTTTTGCTTTTTTACATGTTTATGTCCATGGCGTTTTTGATTAAATAAATCTTTGCTTAACATAATTTATTATAGTTCCTCCTGAAATTCAAGATCAAGAAAAGGTGACAAATGCATCTGTAGTGGTTAATCAGCCTGTGAATCTCTACTGTGAAGTGTCAGGCAACCCCTTTCCCATCATCACATGGTATAAAGATGATGTCCAGGTATGCAATGTTTGTTGATTTCATGGCAAATTAAGTGAAACGACTGTAAATGTACAAAAGCCAATTCCACCAGATTTCACATTAGCTTTCTAAAGCCTTTTTGGTGAGTGCTTGAGAAGAGAGCTCATTTAAATAAAATAAAATATATTTATTTACTTAGGGTATGTCTATACTAGTAGCGCTTTACTGGTATAGGAATATCATTACATTATATTGGAAAAGCTGTGTAGCAGTGTAGTAAAACCACCGTTTACAAGTGAAACAAGCTATACTGGTAAAAGCACAATTTTGCCAATATAACTTGCATCTATTCCAACACAGTTATTTTGGTCAGGGATCATACCTTCTGCCAGCAGAAATTTGTAGTGTTGACCTGGCCTTAGATTTAAGCAACAATAAAAACATGCATACACAAAGCACTGGGTACCTTTGTAACTAATTAAATATATGGTCACATAACTCACAATGATGACCACTGAATTGTGCACAGGTAATAAATTAACTCACACATTCATTAAATCAAAGCAACAGAAAAGCACCTTTCAAGCCTTCTCCAAAAACTAGCCTCAGCCTCCCCCCAAACCTTATCATCTATATCTTAGATCTCAAAACACTTTACAAAGAAGGACAAGTATTTTAACCCCTGCAACAAAGAGACTAAAAAGGAGATTTGATTATCATACAACTGCAAATTATAATATTGCCATACAGTTATCTGCCCATTATTATATAACTACCTACAGGTTATGCTTGATAACTTACATTGTTCTTTGAAGGTATTATGGTTGTGACAGAGAAGGGACATTAAGTGGATAGATTATTGTTTAAGAAAAACTACTACCTTCTTTTCAAAATCCAGCTGCAGTGTTTGGCTGATGTAACTGGACCACATAATGCTGATCTCTTTGATTTTTTTTTTTAAGGTTGTGGAAAGCAGTACTCTCCAGATTTTGCATAATGGGAAGATACTGAAGCTCCTTAAGGTTGCTGCTGCTGATGGTGGACAGTATTCATGCAAAGCAACTAACATAGCAGGGAGTTCTGAGAAGCTATTTAATGTAGAAGTGCTAGGTTAGTACTGTGCTCTTTAAAGCTGGTAATCTGAAAAAATGGTATTTGGTATTTATAAGTCATTACATTGCAGGGTTTTTTTTAGTCATGTTAAATACAGGATATAGTATCTCTCCACACAATAACATCTTATGTTGTTTGAACTTTGTCATCTTTTTGGTACCATACACAAAAAGCTGCTTTCCATCTCAGTCTTCGGATATAAGATATTTTATCTTAATGTCTTGTGCATATTTTACTAATGGAACACAGATGACCGGCTAGAAAGATTTTTCTTGTGCCAAATAGTCAGTTCCCCAGCACTTGTGCAGAATTGCTTTCTATGTGAAGGATCATAGGCACAATAGAAAGGTGTTATAGAACAGCAGCTGCAGCCAGCGGCGGCTCCAGGCACCAGCGCTCCAAGCGAGGGCGGCAGTCAGGCATGCCGCCGAATCTGCGGGACCGGGGACCTCCCGCAGGCATGCCACCGAATCCGCGGGACCGGGGACCTCCCGCAGGCATGCCGCCAAATCCGCGGGACCGGGGACCTCCCGCAGGCATGCCGCCAAAGGCAGCCTGCCTGCCGTGCTTGGGGCGGCAAAAAAGCTAGAGCCGCCCGTGGCTGCAGCATTCACTTTCACAATTAAGGTTGAAGCTTTGCTACTTATACTGATTACATGGTCATCCTGAACTCATGGCCTCCATGATCTAATCTGTTCAGTTAGTGCCATTGTCAGCAAGTCTTCCACATTTAGTCGCCATGTTAGCCATGTTTAGTTCTCATTGTAACATTTCTTTTTCCAAGTTCCACCAAACATAAAAGGTGCTGACACACCAGGGGAAGTTTCAGTCACCCTCAACCAAGAGACCAGTCTGGAGTGTAAAGTCAAAGGCTCTCCTTTTCCTGTCATTCAGTGGTTCAAAGATGGCAAGTAAGTACCCCCTCTTTGTCTGTGGCAAGGACATTATGATAGGTGAGAAAGGAGACAGATGCACTCTACTATCAAGTGCTGCTTATGACTAATCAGTCAGTGGTATGCCATTGTAATCAGTTCAGACTCATACTACTGTTATATGTTGATGTTGTGTGGTTAAGTATATCATCTTGCTGTTTCATAGCGAAATGCCAATTTGTAAGTAATGTGGCACTTGCAGTATATATTTATGGTGGGTAAAACCATACAGCACACAAACCAAGACAAACACACAGCCACTTCTTTGAGGTCATTCCATAGAGATTATTTTAATGTTGTTCAAAGTGCAGTCACTTCTTTGCTAAAATGGCTATTTTTTTTGGTGGTGGTGGATAGTACCCATGAGCAAATTGTTAAACATTTTTCCAGATAGTGCCCTGTATTGCTGTGTATATATAGAGATGAGATTTTATAACTTTAGACTGCATGTCTCAGTTCTTCAGCTCTTCTTTCAGGAAAGCCCATTTAAAAGAGGAGTTTTGGCAGTGCAAATGTTAGCTGAAAAACAAAAATGGTACTATAAATAGGCTGAAAAAATAGCATTAACATGTCACAATGTAGTTCTTTGCCAGCAAAACCAGCTATCCTGATGTGACAATAGCTTGCTATTCTTTGGTGTATAGACTTCAGAGCTTTTATCTACTAAACAGAGACATTTTGTCATTACTAAGGGAGTCATTATGGTCTAATAATTAGAGAAGGGGACTGGGAATCAGGAGATCTTAGTCTATGCCTGGCTCTGCCACTGACATACTGTGTGACCTTGGTCAACTTAAGTACACCTCTACCCCGATATAACGCTGTCCTCGGGAGCCAAAAAATCTTACTGCGTTATAGGTGAAACCGCGTTATATCGAACTTGTTTTGATCCGCCGGAGTGCGCAGCCCCGCCCCCCGGAGCACTGCTTTACCGCGTTATATCAGAATTCGTGTTATATCGGGGTAGAGGTGTATTTTGTGCCTTGGTTTCTTCTGTAAAATGGGAATAATAATAATGATAGTTAACTACCATTGGATAGCAATTTTAGCTCTTTGCATGAAAAGTTCTGTTCTAGTGCTAAATATTAATTCGTATTTTATTGCAGTGATTTTTTATTCAAATTTTCTTTATTACTATTAGAAGGGGTTTAAAAAAAATGATTTTAACACATACTTGTGGGGATAGGGAGAACAGTGCCAGGAAATGAAATAAACTTTTCTCCAGGCCCCTTTTTTTGGGAGATCCTAATATCGACCTTCTGGACAAAGGACAAGTTCTGCGCATAAAGAGTGCTAGAAGACTCGACAAAGGACGCTATCAGTGCAGTGTGACCAATGCTGCTGGCAAACAAGTCAAGGAAGTCAAGCTGATCATCCATGGTAAATTTAAAAAATTCTCTGGGATTAGGCATTCTTCTGTTTTGTCCAATAAAATAGCTTTCTGTTTTGCAGGGAAACAATATGCAGATTAAGGCCCTGATCCTGCAAAGAACTGTGCATATGCTTAATTTTACATTTATCTGTCCTCCCATTGACCTCCAGGGGACTCCCTAGATGTGTGAAGTTAAGCATGTGCATAAAACTTAGCAGGAATGGGGCCTAAGCCAGCTTTAGGTATATTTTCTTGAGTTTTTTAGCTATGGAAAATATTTTGGAGCAGTTTCATAAACCTGTAGTCTCTGAGTTCTTTATAAAAATTAATATCAACTGAAATGTTATCATCTAGTTAGTTTCATTTTGTTGATTTTTGTTTGTTTGTTTGTTAATACAGTGAGGGCCTGACTTTCCTCAATTTATGCCAGTGTAGATCAGAAGTAAAAGATCACTAAAGCCAGTGGAATTACACCAGTGTAAAATTGGTCTGGGAAGAAAATCTGGCAGAGAATGGCTTAGAATATACAGATTCCAAAAGAGTTAGATCTATAGATTTAAAGGATTAGGTCGTCAGTTGTCATAATTTGGTGTAACTCTATTGATTTCATGAAAATATGTTGATTTATGCCAGCTGAGCATCTGGCCCAGAGGAGCTAACTATATTAACATTTAATTATTGTTGATTATTGACTCACTTATATAGCACAATTGCCTGGTGTTTTACAAACAGGGTAAGGCATCTTCCTTGCAACATAGTAAGGACAAGCCGAGCAAAGACAATTCAAGCTACTCGGTGGGATATGTTTAGGTAAGGGTAGGTATGGGAGTTATTGGTGGCAAGAACAGGGTTAGAAAGATTTCTGGGAGGAATGGATTTGATAGAGGAACTCACGTGCCTGGCAGATAAGAAGAGGGAGGAGAGCCTTCCATTTGGAATGGGCAGCATCAGTGAAGGTCCAGTCAAGCCTGCGAGCTGGGAGGAGTATAGGGGGAAATGAGAGCAGACAGATAGTTGGGGGAAGACTATGTTGGCCTGACAAAAAGTGAGTTATAGGAGGTTAAATTTGACATTGTAAAGGTAGGAAGACAGTGATGTGCTGGCAAAAAAATTGAGGATATCACTAGCGACCCTGGGTGGGGTGGTTTCAGTGGAATGGAAAGAAAGCAAGACAGGCTGGAGGGGATTGAGGAGAAAGCTTGAGGAAAAATCTAAGTAATGTGAGCAGATTCATAGTCTTCAAAAACAAAAGGAGGAAATAAATTGGACAGTAGTTAGAGAGCCAAAGGGGATATGCCATTAATGTCAAAGGGTACAACTCTGGGTATATAGACGGATGCTCGGAGAGGGGAATCTGGGCATAATTTCCTATTAGATCTTAGTTTTCTTTGCTCTTTAGTCCTCTTGGTTTTTTTTGTTTTTGTTTGTTTTTTATTTGTTTTAATGACATTTCCCACATGCTCAGGAGAATTCAAACTCTTGATGTAGCTTCAATAACTTTCATTATTAAAATTTTGGGATTGAAGAGATATATAAAGTGAAATTCATGAGAAGGATTTTCCCCTTGAGACCTATAATATGGAAAAACTGAGAATTTTAACAGCTGGATGACAGCCAGGATTATAAATGATGAGTGACTGCATTTGGTATTTAGTTATTGTCACCTTTATCTTGGTATAGTCCAGTTCTCAAACTGGGGGTTGGGACCTCTCAGGGGGTTGTGAGGTTATTACATGGGGGGTCGCGAGCTGTGGGAGGTATTGCCAATACAGAGAAGGACTGGGATATCATACAGGAAGATCTGGATGACCTTGTAAACTGGAGTAATAGTAATAGGATGAAATTTAATAGTGAAAAGTGCAAGGTCATGAGAAGGACCTTGGAGTATTGGTTGATCACAGGATGACTATGAGCCGCCAATGAGATATGGCTGTGAAAAAAAGCTAATGCGGTCTTGGGATGCATCAGGCGAAGTATTTCCAGTAGAGATAAGGAGGTGTTAGTACTGTTATACAAGGCACTGGTGAGACCTCATCTGGAATACTGTGTGTAGTTCTGGTCTCCCATGTTTAAGAAGGATGATTTCAAACTGGAACAGGTACAGAGAAGGGCTACTAGGATGATCCGAGGAATGGAAAACCTGTCTTAAGAAAGGAGACTCAAAGAGCTTGGCTTGTTTAGCCTAACCAAAAGAAGGCTGAGGGGAGATATGATTGCTCTCTATAAATATATCAGAGGGATAAATATCAGGGAGGGAGAGGAATTATTTAAGTTCAGTACCAATGTGGACACAAGAACAAATGAATATAAACTGGCCATCAGGAAGTTTAGACTTGAAATTAGACGAAGGTTTCTAACCATCAGAGGAGTGAAGATCTGGAACAGCCTTCCAAGGGGAGCAGTGGGGGCAAAAGACATATCTGGCTTCAAGACTAAGCTTGATAAGTTTATGGAGGGGATGGTATAATGGGATAGCCTAATTTTGGCAATTAATTGGTGTTCGACTATTAGCGGTAAATATGCCCAATGGCCTGTGATGGGATGTTAGATGGGATCTGAGTTACTACAGAGAATTCTTTCCTGGGTGTCTGGCTGGTGAGTCTTGCCCACATGCTCAGGGTTTAGCTGATCGCCATATTTGGGGTTGGGAAGGAATTTTCCTCCAGGGCAGATTGGCAGAGACCCTGGGGGGTTTTCGCCTTTCTCTGCAGCGTGGGACACGGGTCACTTGCTGGAAGATTCTCTGCACCTTGAAGTCTTTAAACCATGATTTGAGGACTTCAATGGCTCAGACACAGGTTTGATACAGGAGTGGGTGGGTGAGATTCTGTGGCCTGCGCTGTGCAGGAGGTCAGACTAGATGATCATAATGGTCCCTTCTGACCTTAAAGTCTATGATAATTTATAAGTGGGGTTTCACTAAGAGATTTGTTATGTGAAAGGGGTCACCAGTACAAAAGTTTGAGAACTACTGATGTAGTCAGTGTCTGTTAGTGTATTCTTCTGCTCCCAGTATTTAGTATAGCTGTGGGCTAGAAGAGGCAGAGAGAAGCCTTGTTTTGTCTTTGATCATTTCCCAAGACAGCATGTTAAAACTATTCCAACTGTTCTCAATTTCTGTATGTGAAATCACTTGCTGAAACATTTTTATATTTCATTTAAGTAGGTTTTAGCATATTTTATAGCTTTATTTTATATGTAAATTATTTAACCAGGATAAACCTGTGGCATAATTTGGTAACCTAAAACACCCAGCTCATTGGTTTAACCCCTCTTCCCTACTCTACTTTATTTTTCTGTGCTGCCCTTTTAGATGAACATTCAATGGAAATCAGTGTATGTTAGGGTGTACCATGTATGTTTGGCAGCAGAGGAGGTATGGGTCTGCCAGATGAATCTGGTACTTTCAAGAGCAGTAAAGCAGTTAATTTAGGTTTTGCCAATTGCAATGTGTTTTTATTGCCCTTTTCAGAGATTTGTGAACTCTTTATGTTGGATAATTTTACATGAAAAGCTTGTTTGCTAGAAAAATATAAGTACCGTTGACTAGTGAGTGATAAGAGTGACTCTGGGTCAAGATTTTCAAAAATAGGAGTCTAAATCAAGGCTCCTAAGTGCCTGTTTAGGCTTATAAGTAAGTGACTTTATTTTCAGAAGTGCTGAGTACCCAGCATTTCCCACTGAAGTCAATAGGGGGTCTTGAATACTCAGCCCTTCTGAACAACAGGTCACTAGTTTCAGTAGTTGCACTAGCTGACTGAGCAGTGGAGGGACTGCTCTAGACTTACCTGCGAAAGATGGGGTAAAAACAGAGCCATGTCCTATGAGGGGAGTAAGTGCATCCTGGAAGAAGTATAGCAAGGGCCTTGCTCAACGGACATATTGGGGAGCTGCAGAAGACAGAATGGGCTGTGCCTTAAAGGTATGGTTTGGCCCTTTCTTATTAGAGTCCATTCATCTTACGTGCGCCGAGCTCTTTGTGTGCCACAGATGTTTGTGCTGAAAGTGGATAACTGCATCGGTGAATGTGTTGGGGATGCTGGAGGTCTTATCAGCCCAAAGGTTCTTTAAATCTTCCGACACTGTAATATTTAACCCATTTATAGCTGCACAAATTTGCTGTAATGCGGACTCTAGCAATAAGGTTTTAATGCTGTTGTTTTATCTTTTTAAATAGTCCCACCTACTATTAAAGGAGGAAATATTACTACTGAGATATCCACGCTGCTCAGCAGCTTAATAAAGCTGGAATGTGAAACCAGGGGAATCCCAGCCCCTGCCATTACATGGTATAAAGATGGACACCCGATTATTTCAAGTCCACAAGCTCTTTATGTGGACAGGGGGCAGTTCCTTCAGATTCCTCGGGCTCAAGTCTCGGATTCTGCTAAGTATACCTGCCTGGTGATCAACATTGCTGGCACTGCTGAAAAAATATATCAAGTGGATGTCTATGGTAAAGAGAGAGTTTATTTAACATGCTTGTTCACCATTTGTTCTGGCTTATAAAACATGCTTATTCAATACTCTAGCTGCGCTCTCATAGACCTAGGTTGTGTAGTGCTTCCTGAAGGACTGAAGTATCCTGTCACGCAGAGTTGGTTGCTGAAGCTAAGGTTTGGCACACATTAGCAAGGCAGCATGGGAAAGCTTGCACTGTCACAGCCTGCGCTATATCTAATATCATCTATGCAGCTATGAAGAAGGCTTCTGTCTTCAGAGCTGTCAGTTGGTACCTTTTATAAGTAGGAAACATTAAAATTACTTTCCCCCAACAAATCCCTTCTTTCTCTCCCCACCCCATTCCCCCCTCCTGTCATCTTAAGTTTCCTGAATGTCACACCTGGGGTGGCTCATGACCATGAATGCCGACCTCCGGGCAGACTGTCAAGAAGCAGGGCAAAACCCCAAAACTGTTTGTATTCTCTGTAATTAAATTTCACCAATCCAGTAACAAGTGTGAACTCTTAAAAAAACACTTTTATAGTCTTACCAATGAGTCACTGACAGTCGCCTTGGGCATTCCAGTCTATCTTGCCACCAGACAAACTGGACTTTCTGGTAGATGGTTGCTATACACCAAAAATCACAATAATATTCAGGTTACTCCCAGTCCCAAAGGACCAGCCATTTACCCCCAGGTCAACTGTACTCAGATCTCAAGCCGAAGGCCATGCTTGTAGCCAATCTGTAAAAAACTAGCTAAAGAGTTATTAACTAGGAAAAAGAAATGAGAGTTATTTACAAGATTAAAGCACATACAGATGAGGTACAGTCAAGTTTCAAAAGGTAATAGAAATTTCTATAGTAAGCAAACTCGGTATATCTTTTAGGGCTAACCCAGGCAAAACAATTGAGGACTTCTTGCATATACTTAGACATCCTTGCCCCTCAGAGTTCAGACAGCATAGTAATAATGAATTCTCCTTATCAGACATTTTTATTTCCTTCCCTCCACATTCCAGCTTTGATCGGACAAGGGGTTGGGCATGTACCCTCTTCAGGGTTGTGGGGAAAGCCATCAACAAGTCTTTCATCCACAATGGTTTGTCTGATGTCTGTAGACCTTCTTTTGTTGGGAAAGAGATCACTACAAGAGGTGTTAACTGGTATTTCACACTTGATAATGCTTCTCTCCTGACTGCATGGGATTTACAGTCTTAGGCCTTGGCTACACTTGGCAATTCACAGCGCTGCCGTGGCAGCACTGCCGCGGCAGCGCTGTGAAGCGCGAGTGTAGTCGCGCCGCCAGCGCTGCGAGAGCTCTCTCGCAGCGCTGTAAGTACTCCACCTCTCTGAGGGGAGTAGCTTGCAGCGCTGCGAGCGAGCGTGCAGTGCTACAGGCGCTGATTACACTGGCGCTTTACAGCGCTGTACTCGCTGTGCGGGGGCGGGGGCGTTTTCACACCCCTGAGCGCAGCAAGTTGCAGCGCTGTACAGCGCCAGTGTAGCCAAGGCCTTAGGTCTTCTCTACACTGGCAAGTTTCTGTGCAGTAAAGCAGCTTTCTGCGGTGTATCTCCTGAGGTGTACACACTGCCAAGCCACGTAGGGCGCAGAAACTGCGCAGTAGCAACGCTGTAAAAAAACCCACCCCGACAAGCGGCATTCAGCTTTCTGTGCTGAGGCTATAGTGCTGCAGTGCCAGTGTAAACACCCTGGTCGATTACAGCGCTGTAATTGGCCTCCAGGAGGTGTTCCACATACCTGTTCTCACCTCTCTAGTCATCGGTTTGAACTCAACTACCTTGCCCTCAGGTGACCAACCGAGAGTCCCACTCCTTAAATTCCTTGGGAATTTTGAAAGTCCCATTCCTGTTTGCTCGGGGACGCGTGCAGTGGTCTCAGCTCATCTTTCTAGGTGACCATGTTTGCTCCACGCACCAGGCAATCCCCCGCTTGGAGCAATGCCGAGCTATTGGACCTCATCAGCATTTGGGGAGAGGAGGCTGTCCAGTCCCAGCTACACTCCAGCCGTAAGAATTATGATACCTATGGACAGATTTAACGATGCATGACAGAAAGGGGCCATGACCAGGACACACTGCAGTGCAGGGTCAAAGTGAAGGAGCTGCGGAACACCTACCACAAGGCGCAAGAGGCAAACCGCCGCTCCAATGCTGCGCCCACAAGCTACCGGTTCTACAAAGACCTGGACGCAATACTTGGTGGTGACCCCACCTCCACTGTGAAGGCCACTGTGGATACTTTGGTGGTTTGCATGCTAGTTGAGAGTGGACCGAGCCAGGAAGAGGAAATCTTGGACGATGATGTGGAGGGGGAGGGGGACCCAGAGGCAGAGGATGACTCGGAGGTCAGAGATGCATGCAGCCAGGAGCTCTTCTCTACCCCGGAGGAGGCTAGCCAGCCACAGCTGTCGGATGTTGGCAAAGCGCAAACAGGAAAGGAGGCCCCTGGTAAGTGACTTTGATTTTGGGAATCGCTGAAGCAAGTTGTTGGGGACAGGAGGGTTGCAGAAAGCAGGCTTGTGTCTTTATGATGTGTACTACCACATGCCTAGTCTGAGCGGTGGAGCAGCAGGGTGTTGTTTGACTCCCTCACTTCATGGGAATTTGTCTCAGAGATCTCCACGAAACTCTCATGGAGATACTGGGTAATCCGCTGTCGCAGGTACTTTGGCAGAGCTGCTTTGTTTCTTGCCCCATTAACGGTAAACATTCCCATGCCACTCTGCCATCACTCAGGGGGAGGTCTGTTACTGTACACAGGTGAGCCACATAAGGGCCAGGGTGAAACCTGCTGTCTCGGCAAAGACCCTTCCTTGATTCCTGCTCACCCTCAGCAGAGAGAGATCTTCCATAATGAACACAGCCTGTGGAAAATGTGGGGACAGTAATGATTATAAGGCCCCACCCTTAACAGTGCTGGCTCTCCCCAAGAGCCATGTGCTCAGTGTACAGTACGGTCTGGGAACACTGATTTCCCCTGCCCCTGTGGTTACTCACCATTTTGAGGGTCTTGTGGCTCATGTGTGCTTGCCTGGGGTCAGCCAGTTAGTGACAGGTATGTGAATAGTGGCTGTGTTTTAAATCACTGAATCAGTGGTCTGTGTGTTGCAAACAATACTGCTACTGTAAAATGCTGCATTTTGGCTTCACAGATATGACCTTGGGAGCCCAGCTTCCCTCTTTGTTATCGCCGGCTGAATGGCTGCGCAGAATTAGAAAGGGGCCACAAAGAACTAAAGAGGACTTGCTGCGTGATGTCATGATGTACTACTCCGCTGAAAAACAAGAATTGAAGGAGTGGCGGGACAGCGAGAAGAGGGACCGAAAGGAGAACACAGCATGCCAAAACGAAGCCATGGAACGGCTCTTAAGTATTATGGAGCGCCAAGCGGACACACTCCAGGCGCTACTAGCACTGCAAACCGAGCAGCTCCATGCCCGACCTCCCCTGCAGCCGCTATTGCAAAACTCTTTCCCATGCGCCCCCCCCCGCACCCCTCCAGACACGGCCAACACATTCTTATCAACCTTCTCTACCCGCTGCATTCCACTCGTGCCCTGTCACAGTCCAGCACTGCGGACTCCCAGTACCCGCTGCACTCAACACCCGTCCCTCTGCAGTTTGGCCCTGCTGAAGTACAGTACCCACTGCACTGTACTCCAAAGGAGAAGGTTGCATATGATACCTGGACATACACAAATCTTTAACCGTTCCGGGACCCCACTTCCTCCTGGAACTCTCCCTTCCCCCATTCCTCATACTGCTGATGTGTTTTTTTGTTTCTCTCTCTCCTCGGGTTGTTGTTTTTTAATAAAATAATTGTTTTGGTTTGAAAGCAATCTTTATTCCATTAATTGAAAGCAAACAGAGCCCTGCAAAGCAACAGGCAATTTTCTTAACTCTTCACAGTGCCTCGTCTGCAACAATCACAATCACTTCCTAGCATTACAAGCACTGCACTTCTGAGCATAGCAACAAATATTAGTGGCTTTCAGCTTCAAATTGCTGCCTCAAGGCATCCTTGATCCTTATGGCCCCACATTGTGCCCCTCTAATAGCCATGCTCTCTGGCTGTTCAAATTCAGCTTCCAGGCGCTGAACCTCAGCGGTCCAGCCCTGAGTGAAGTTTTCACCCTTCCCTTCACAAATATTATGGAGTGTACAGCATGCGGCTATAAGCATAGGAATATTGTCATCGGCCAGGTCCAGCGGGCTTTTAAACGGCCAAAAGCACACTCAACAGTCATTCTGCACTTGCTCAGCCTGTTGTTGAACCGCTCCTTGCTGCTGTCACGATTCCCCATGTATGGCTTCCTAAGCCACGGCATTAAGGGGTAGGCAGGGTCTCCCAGGATCACAGTGGGCATTTCAACTTCCCCTACGGTGATCTTCTGGTCCTGGAAGAAAGTTCCTGCAGCTTCTTGAATAGGCCAGTGTTCCAAAAAATGCATGCGTCATGCATCTTTCCAAACAAGCCTGCATTAATGTCCATGAAATGCCCACGATGATGCAGAAGTGCCTGGAGAACCATAGAGAAATACCCCTTCCGATTAATGTACTCGGTGGCTAGGTGGGACAGGACCCAGGATGCCCCTCAATGCCTTCCGCCTTCCCACAACTCTTAGTGGCAGAAGAGGAAGAGATGCTCTGTGGGATAGCTGCCCAGAGTGCACTGCTCCAAATACCGCTGCAAGTGCGACAAGTGTGAACATGCTATTATGCAGGCAGCTGACAGTGTGAACACACAACAGCGGTTTCCATTCAGCAGTCTCTGAGTGGCACTGTAACTGCCGGCAATGTAACTCTGCCAGTGTAGACATACCCTTAGCAAACATTTTTATACTTACAGAGCAAACATTTAGACATTACCTTATCACACTGGATACAAATATTATAAGTAGGGTTCATACATGCAGCATCCTACAAGCATTCCATAAAGTCGAAACACATTCTTATAACTGTTTCAACTATACAAACACACAGGTTTGCCAGACTGGTTGCCAGCTATGTATTTGTTAGTGTTCAGTGAGGCCTGGGGCCTTGGCATGAGCTGGCATCTGGTCTGCCAGTGTCACACCTGACTTAAGACTCTTAGTCTCTATTCTTCCATCTCAGAGCCTCATCATCTCTTTTAATAAAGTGGTGAACAATCAGCTAGGGCATTTGTCTATTAAATTGTTAACTGTTCTTTATAAGTACTTTGTCTTAACCTCTTCTGACAAAAGATGTCTCACATAAAATAATACATAATATAAAATTAGGTAGAGCCAGAGGGGGTTGGGAGGAACTGACCCATTTGCTGTTAATACATTTTCTGGCTGCCAAGTTAATCACTTGCAATATATATATATATTTTCCCCTTCTCTAGTTCCTCCGGTTATTGAGGGTGGCTCTGACACAGTCCAGAACAAGCAGGTGATTGCTGGAAATTCACTGACATTGGAGTGTAAAGCTGCTGGCAACCCCCCTCCTCTCCTTACCTGGTTAAAAGATGGAGTGCCTGTGAAAGCAAGTGATAACCTCCACATTGTGTCTGGTGGGAAGAAACTGGAGATCTTGAATGCTGTAGAGGCCGATCATGGCCAGTACATATGTGTGGCCACCAGCATAGCAGGAGAAAAAGAAATCAAATATGATGTTGAAATCTTAGGTGCGTGAGCAGCAGAACAATTTCTTTACAGAACTTGCATCAGAATTAAACCTGTATTTATTTTTGCTGGTGTCACAAAACTGCAGTTTAGTGGGTCAAACGTCACATTTAATTAAGCCCAGCCATTCCACATTTTCTCTGCCAAGTTTGACAGGCCTGTGGATGGCTGCTTTCCGATTACTTCTGGGACAGTTTTCATGAGGGAGATTGTAAACATCACTTGGAAGGACACACAGATGTCTTCCAAATGTGCCTTAAAATCAGGGACAGGAGAAAAATCACAGCTGCAAAATAAATAAATAAATAAAATAATATCAAGGCGTTCTTCGATTTTTTAGGCTGCCTGTAAATTTTTGGCTACATTATGCAAATCCTAAACTTTCCTTTGAAAAATGTTTCTCTCTTTCCATTGAAACCTTCACTCCAATCTAGATCTGAACACTGCCTCGTTGGCCTGTCTCTATATATGAGTCATGCAAATGCTAGTCATGAAATAGCAACTTCCAGCATAGTAAGGCTCCTTGTGTTGTAGGTGCTACTATTCTTTAAGGTCTTGATTATGCCTTGTAGGCACAGATGTGCATTGAGACACCACCACCACAGGGGAGCATTGGGGGCCACAGGCTTGCAGAAGCAGTATGCCCAGCTTACTGTCCCCTGAATGGCTTTGCTGGTCTGTGAATGAGGTGGGGACAGAAGGCCCTGCCTTCCCCCCATCTTCCCACTCCCTTGGAGTGCCATGATCCCCAAAGGATCAGATGGGCCATGTGAAAGGAGGGTGGGGAAGGCTCTTAGTTTCCTTTCTCCATGCATAGAGGGAGTAGGGGGAATCTGGCCCTAGATAAATTAAGTGCCACACAAGAGCAATAAAAATGATAGGACAGAGGACACCATCTGTTTGGTGCCCTTCATTGCAAGGGTACAACTCTGTACATTGAACCCAATTTAATACCCTGTCCCAGTATGCGGTGGGTGCTAAGATATATATTTTACAATATGTGGTTGTTTTTGACACTTTTTCTGATATTTAAATGTTTATTCTGGTATGTTTTTTTATCACTTTACAGTCCCACCACTTGTGGAAAGGGGAGAGGAACCTTCAAACTACATTGTGATCCTTCATAGCCCTCTGGAGCTGGACTGTCCAGCAACAGGAACCCCTCCACCGACTATCATGTAAGGGGGTTGGTATGTCAGTTATAAATTCCACCACTTGCTTAGATGGGCTTGGAAGTAATTGTTATGCACTGACCATACCATTTGATCATAGACTAAAATACAGTGGGTGAAATCCTGGCCTCGTTGAAGCCAATGGCAAAACTCTGACTTCAGTGGGGTCAGAATTTTGCCCCCCACTTTTGTTTTTTAAAGTAGCCTTGTTGGTTATACCAAAGTAAATATTTCAGAGACCACTCTGGATTAAAAAGAAGTGGCAGAACTCTACTAATGACCCTTCCCCTACTGATGTCTCCTTTCCCTCTCCTCTGGTAACTATGGTCCCTCTTGCATGGAATCTTTCACTTCAGTCCCCTTCCCTCTCCTTTGGTGGCAGCTGTCCTTTCTGCAGCCTCCCCCAGTGCCTGCCTCCTTCCTTTTCCCTTCTCTGGTGTCTGCTTCCCCATTTCCTGGTAGCTCGCTTCAAGCCCTCACTTATCTCTGGGAGCCCCAAAGAAGCAGAAATCTACGTAATATCTCCAGGCTTCCTTGAAAAATAGATCTAGTTGTACGGTGACTTCCTATTTCTAGTTAACAGAAACATGTCTCTGGACTGTCACCCACTTTAAAAAAGATAAGCGTCTTAAGATTTTGCTTTCTTCACACTAGGTGGTTGAAAGATGGCCAGCCAGTTGAAGAGGGAGATGGATATAAGATCTTATTAAATGGACGCAAACTTCTCATCTCCCGGGCTCAAGTGTCGGACACAGGCCGCTATAAGTGTGTGGCAACAAACAAGGCAGGAGACCATGAAAGGGAATTGGATATTACTGTGCATGGTATGTTACACAAGGGAGGAAAAAAGCAGCAGACTGACTTTATATTAAAAGGATGTTGCATACCTTCATTAGCAAGACGGTATTGTAGTTTTATACAGAACTGTAAAATTTGTAGAAATGTGGCGATAAATTGGTGACAACAGTGAGTAGAATTGTAATAATCAAAGCCATTTGCATTTGAGAGATTCTGTAGGTTGCACATTAATACTTTCAAATAGTGATTGATCTTTGTTTGTGTTGTCTCTTGCAGTTCCTCCAACAATCAAATCCACTGGCCCTTCTGAGAGAGGTGTGGCGGTATACAAACCCATGACATTGCAATGCGTAGCCAACGGTATACCCAGTCCTTCCATTACGTGGTTAAAAGATGGCCAGCCAGTAAACACAGCCAGAGGAAATATCCGAGTAAGCACAATGCTTTTGTGGCATCCAAAATTTGAAAGATAGTTACACTAAAGTGCTAACACACACCCCCATTAGTTTTCCTCTCCTTTTTTATTTCTCACGCGATGCTATGGAGATGCTAAAGATCCACCCTGGAAGTCGATGGGAGTTTTGTCTGAGTAAGGAATTTGGGATTTGACTTGCAGTGTTCCGTTGTGTGAATCCCTTTAGAAATCCATATGCTGTGTTTGCTGGAAGTCTAGTTTGTAGATACAGTGTCCACACCTCTCAGCAGTACTTAATTCTCCAGAGGTGGTCATCTTTCCAATTGGGATAGCTATTGGGTGTAGCACTACTCATTTGCTGACTGGGAAGCAGGATGATGTAAATTTCTCTCTGAGCACCACCTCGGTGTCAATTTGGCACCTAAATCTTCTACTCTTCTTGGACTGTGGGATTCTGAGTGTTGGGAGACAGCCCTTTACATTGGAGAGGTTTGTGTGGCTCTCCCAGAGGCTTGATCTGGTGCAAATCCATGCCTCAGCTCGTAACTCCTTGGCACCTCAGTGCTCTCCAGCAATGGGGCTTGAAGCTGCTTTGATCTATGCTAGACTGGAATGGCTTCTGGCATCCTGCCAGCAGTCCCATGCAGTAGCAGCCCTCTCTGCCTGCAGCCACTGCTTCACAGTGTTTGCCTGTCCTTTGCCATCCAGATCTCTTCACAGCTGAACCAGCTAAGGAGCCATCACAGCCTTGTGGCTCAGGGGCTCTCTAACCTTCAAGACTAGGCCTCCTGTGTGAATGTAAGCCCCAGTCTGAAAAGAAGATGAGACGTTGTATATAGTGTAAATGTGTATCTTATCATTCATCTCAGTGGCTATGTCTGGAGTCATAGTGCAAATCTATTCTCTGCTTTTTGTTTTGGGGCAGCTGGAGTCTTCAGGCCGCATTCTGCAAATTGCCAAGGCCCTCCTGGAAGATGCTGGTAGATACACCTGCGTGGCAACAAATGCTGCAGGAGAAGCCCAGCAGCACATTCGGCTTCATGTGCATGGTAATGATGTTTCAGCCTCTCATTAAAAAAAGCTGCCTTAAAATTGCCACTTTTTAGCTTCTAACTGTCCATTCACTTCTTCTGTTTTGAGCACATTCAGGAAGGCTGTGTTAGCTTCCCACACTTGCATTATCTGCAGAGATGTGTCACTCCATTTTCCTCCTTTTCTGGTCACTCTGCTTTTGTCTGAACTCATTACTGTCTCTCCAAGAAGTTCAGGGGGGAAACAGGGCCTTTGCATCATCTGATACCAAATGTCACAGGAACGAGCACCTCTCTCCAGTAAACTCAGTGTGTCATCCTCTTTTACACACTACAGCTGAGTTGAGAGAAGCTTCCAAGACATTAGGAGGTAAACTGTGTTCTTGACCCAGAAACAAGGCACCACTATCGGCATTACTGATTGGACCCAAATCTTGTGAGAACAAGCATTCTTTGCAAGCTTCTGCAGAAACATTTTCTCTCATATGTTAGGATCCTTTATTCTTTCAAACTTCTGGAAGGGTTTTTTAATTTCCAGATGAACCAATACAGAAGGGAGTAAGGAAAGTTCAGGAGTTATTTGCATGTAAGTTTGATAAATGTTTGACCATGCTTTAAGTATATGAACCTCAGAGCTTCAAAACTCCTGGCCAGGCCTGGAGCCAACTTCCACTAGAGTCATGTGGTTTCTTTCTAGTGACTTCAATGGGAGTTGGATTGGAACCCTTTTGTGGCGATGTGGTGGTTTTTCTGTGATTTCTATTGTATCTGTTTGATTTGTGAATATGCAAGTTAACACAACAATGTTAAATTAAATGGGAGATTGCAGCACCTACCTTCATCAGGATGGAAAAGAGGAACCTTGCTCCTCCTGTATTCCTAAAGCCATATTTGATCTATCCAGCTGCTTTTGTCCTGAGACTGACTCACACTAGTTTGTCTTTTTCCCTCTACTCTTCCTGTCAGCAGTGCTGTGTGTCACTGCCTTGTGTTTCTGCCACCTTCTAATCTAGAACATATGTGGGCTAGGTAAAGTAAAGTGCCTTGCCTTATTAAAGCTCTCTGCAGCATTCAGTTCGATGTAGCCATTTTAAATGTAAACCGAGTACGATTAAAAAGCTTGACATGTTAGAAAAGTGACTTTACAAAATTGGCCCCTTCCTACCCCACTCAAGCTGTGTGTATCTTGAGTCAAATCCACCTACTTTATTGGCAAAAGAAGCTTTTATTTCTGTTAATGCTGAAGAGCCTGTATAACGAGAGAACGGTCCAACTGCAGATGGGAGCTCATCCATGGAGAGCCTACGAAAAGGTGGTGTGGGATATTCCCCAGACATTCAGCAGTAAATAAGCACGGTATTCCAGTATACAGAGTGCTTTGTGCAGAGATGTTCTGCCACTGTGTGGCTAAATGAATTAAACCATAATTTTTCTGTCCTTTTTCAGAACCACCCAGTCTGGAGCATTCAGGGAAGATGTTAAATGAAACAGTGGTGGTGAATAACCCAATCCACCTTGAGTGCAAAGCATCTGGAAATCCTTTGCCAAGTATGTATGTTAAAATGAGTCTGTTAACAGGTTATCCATTTTTAAAGGCTTCTGATGGTAATTGAGATTCTTAATGTGAACATAAATCTCTAGTATTTAAACTTGTGAAATCAATAGTACAATGAATATCTAATGGAAAGCTTTAATAAATTTGAGTGATGTACAGTAGATGAAATTTAAAATTAAAGTACTAGGGATTCAGTGATCCCCACTGTTTCCCGTTCAAATGAGTGAGAAACATGGATAAATTGTCCTCTCATAACTCTACCACCGGCCATGTCCACAGTCAGTAACAATGTTAGCAGATGTTATTGTATACTACATGCTTTTGTGAAAAAATATACAAAAACAAATCCACTCATCTAATCTTATCAGGTTAATACTGCATAGTGTGGGTCAAATTTACAAAACCCAGTGTAATGAGTATGCCTGCAAAAATGGGCCAACACTGAGGACCCCATCCAAAAACCCACTGTAATCCACTGGGTCTTTCCATACCCTTCAGTGGACTTTGCATCTGGGCCTAGTGTACATGGAAAACCTCAAAGTTTGTTTCCTGATTGGCCTGCTGAGATGGTGGTAGGTTATACACATGTTTTTGGAACTGCACCTTCAATGCTAGCCTTTGAAAATTTGGCCTTATATATCTAGTCATAATTTAATTCACATTTATTCTTATAGTGCTAAGTCCTTCCTCGTTATTTTTCTTAGTCAAACACTCATTGACTCCAATGGGAATTTGCCTGAGTAAGAACCTCAATATTTGGCTCACAATTAGGACAGATGAATCCCTTCATATAAAATAATCTTTACCTAAAACTTGAGCTGAAACAAACCTGAAAGACAAGCTCAAGAAGCTGGATTTCAAACACCCCATTGTTTGAATCTTTTTAGATCCAGGATTTTGGTTTGGATCCTTTCCCACTTTGAACCTCTTTTAAGGTTTGAGAAGTGTGCATTTTTTTCCTTTCTGTAATCTGTATTTCTGAAAACTTCCTGCTTGTGTCAGGAAGTGAAAGAACTATAATAATGTGAGAGAGGTTGTTCTTGTAGCATTTGCTGCCCAGTTAAACTCAGGAAACACTGAAATTCTGCAAGAGGGCTTATTTTTATTTAGTTTATAGTTCAGTTTCTAGAAAAAAGATTTGACTAAAGTTCAAATGAGCATCCAAACTGAACTTTGTACCTTTTGGATCTGATTTTCCAGTGCCTGTCATCCTTGTGTAGTCATTTACACCTGTAGAAAGTTAGATGTAAGATATCAACAGTTCTAAAGGGTAGGATTGTTTGCCCACTCAGGGCTGGCTCTAGCGTTTTTGCCACCCCAAGCAGGGGGAAAAAAAGAAAAAAAAAGCCGTGATTGGCGGCAGCTCTACTGCCGCCGCTTCATTCTACGGTGGCAATTTGGCGGCAGGTCCCTCGCTCCGAGAGGGAGTGACGGCCCCGCCGCCGAATGGCCGGACGTGCCACCCCCCTCTTCATTGGCCGCCCCAGGCACCTGCTTGCTACGCTGGTGCTTGGAGCCGGCCCTGCGCCCACTTGGCATGCACTCTTTTTTCCTCAGCACTGTTTCTTCAAACCTAATGATGATTAGTTTTTTAAAATGATTAAATTCATAGAATTCTACCGGCTCTTCTACTTATGATATAGTGCCATGTGTTACAAACTGTCTAACATAATGAATTTTCAGCGCAGAGCAAAAATTCCACTTGGATCAACTTAACCATGCCCCCCAAAAAACCTAAAACAAATTAACAACAAAACAAAAACAACTCTACCACCCTCCAAAAAAAACCCCCAATGAATAATCTAGTATATCACTATTTAGATTAGGGAACAGATGCACCAAGGCAAATCTCACTCCCTTCTTCATGGAGTAAAAGGCAGAGCATTTAGCCCTATTACTGTGCTGGGTTTTCAACTCTGTATAACATTGTGAAGGAGCATCAAAGGTCCTTGAAATACAAAAGAAGGTTAATTGCTACACTGTTGTGCTAGAATGCTACTTTACCATATCTCACCATAATTCTTAATCCCAAACTCCTGTTCAGTTCCATGAGAATTCTTTGTGCTAAATGATGGCAAGATATGGCCTTGAAAAGCAACAACAAATCTCCTTGTTTGACATAACTGAAAAAAATAGGGTGTTGCGTGCAGTCACACTACCTTGTGTTGTGATCAGCATGCAGTTCTCACAAGTTAGTCAGAGTCAGGCCAATGTATTTCTTGGATGGGAGACTTTCATAGAAAACTTAGGTATTGTAAGAAGTGATTCAGTAGGTAAAACTTTCATCTGAGTAAGCATGGAACCAGTGTCCCAGCAAGGTGTTAATGAGAACTGAGCTGATGGAAGGGCCATCTTGTGACGGAGATGCAAAGTAAAGGTCCTCAACAGTTATCGTCTGTTATAATCCCCAAATACTCTAATTCCACCACCCTAGTCAAATTCCTGTTAGGATTACTGTATTCTGCCTCTGTAAGCTTCCACATGAGTTTCAGTTTAATGTAGTATTTGGGATTTTCTGCCTTGAAGTGTTGTCATGTTGCAGTGTATTTTTAAACAGTTGTATTTCAGTTCAGTAGTAGATGAAGTGGCCCCTATATACATGCTTAATATAACAGTTTATTAAGTGATAAATTGCTTTGGGATGGAAGTATCTATATACATATAAAATTATAGTTGTTGTTGTTACTGAATGTCATAGGCCTATGCAGTACCCTACAAAAAAGTTAGTAGTTATCACTACTATTGTTGTAACTTTATTATTACTGTAGTTTAAATATAGTGAATATTGATTTATTTTTAGTTAGCTTTTAGAAAAGCTTAACCAGCATTTGAACAAAGACTGAAAGTTTTAAGATAATTTGGAAAGTATCTTTCTATTGTTGCATAGAGCTAGCTTTGTTACTGCCAGTTATAAGGGTACAGTCAGTAACTTTTCCCTCTCTCTTATTTCACATTGCAGCTATCACATGGTACAAAGACAGTCATCCACTCACTAGTGCTGCAAGTGTCACGTTCTTAAACAGGGGGCAAATCGTTCAGCTTGACAGTGCCCAGATCTCTGACACTGGCATTTATAAATGTGTGGCTGTCAATACAGCAGGAACAGCTGAGCTCTTTTACAACCTGCAGGTTCATGGTAAGTGTTGCACGTCATAAAAACAGTTTGAGGAAAATCATCTATGTGCATTTTGCCTGCTCTTTTCCAGTTTTATTACACATACTTAATACGCTCCTTCCTATGACTAATCATTTTCTGAGAGGAATTGTGGAGAATATGAAGGCCACATTTCTTTCCTTAGAGCATTGACATGGGAAAACTCAATTGAAGATGTTTGTCAATTCTGATAGGAGAGAGCAGTTTAGCCAAATCTGTCAGAGACTTAAATATTGCTGCTTCAGCAGTTTGAAAAGGCATGGGGTATTGTTTATTGTTGATCATTTTGAACACTACAACAGGTAATTATACTATAGAAAGAAAACAGAAGCTGATTCATAGTTCAGAGGTTTTAGAGGAAATTGTATTTGGTTGTATACAATTAAATGAAATTGTGAGTCTTTATAGTCACTAAAAACCTGATCAAAACCCCTCAGTCAGTTGGAGATTTTTCACTGATTTCAGTGGGCCTTGCATGCTAGTCCATAGCCCTAAGCCAAATTTTGCCTTCAGAATTTGTGCACACACAACATATTTCAGTGGGAGCCTTCCATGCTAATCTGCTGCCAGAATTTGGCACAATGGTGTCAAGGTTGTATTATTCCACTGAGATGCACAAACAGTATGTAATTCCTTTTAATGTTAATTAACCAATAATGACCTTGGGCAGTGCCTTTCCTTGGGATTAATGACCATCTGAGAGAATTTGATGGCCCAAAACACAGCCAAAGGCAATTAACCCCACACAGTTGTTAATTCCCAGGAAATGTTTGGTGCCAAGGTCATTATTTCTATTTGAAGCTAAAAATTAAAAAATAACTCCTAAACACATGGGCTTCTTTTTATGGATGCTGGAGTTTCAGTTCAGTTTAATACCCTTTGGGTTAGCCAGCTAGATTAGACTCACAGGATTTGTTTGCCATTCCAGATCAAAACGTGTCACCCAGTACTGATTGTATCAAAGAAAGATGAAACCGTTCCTAATGCACGTAGCCAGTTCAGTGTGTACCTAATGGGTCTGGGAAGAGAATCCGTTCTGACTTATCCAGTGATCAGTTTGCACTGTGAAGCATGAGATCATAATACTATTCTTTTACCCTACATAAGTACGGTCATCATGTGTAAATTATTTCTCAATATTTCATTCAGTTTAAAGTGGAAGTTATGAACAATGAGGAGATAATGGACTCTAAAGGATTCATGGCAGAACACAGGAGAAGTTATATTGAGTTTAATGAACATATATTTATCTTATCTTGATTCTTGTATCATGCCCATCACTGTAGTGTATGAGCATATTTCTCATCCCATTAATATCTCATTTTATTCAAATTCTGTTGTAAAAACAGTGTTTTGGTTACAGTAGCTACAGCATAAATTATCATTGTGTTCTCATTGTTTAGAAAACAATACTCCAATCTTAACATTGAAGGGAGTTATAAAACTATTTCTAGGTGCCAAATCTTTTGAATTCAAATAAAGTATATTCATATGATTTCATTGTCTGAAGATGTTTGTAGTTGTTTCTCACCATTATAAAACATTTGCAATTATCAAAGAACAATGGATGCTTGTTATGGCAAAGTGTATATAGCTGCTTATCTTCCAGCATTTCTGGTTCTACTAGAGCTTATTTATAAGGCAGAATGAATAGTCTGCATCATGGTTTACCAGAAATTGTTCACTCATTACTACAACTGAGCAACTAGTTTGCCATGAATAATTTATCTGGTTAACATACCCTCTTTTTTATACATAGAACATCTGTGAGTAGATCATGACATTCTCTTCTTTCTATGTTAATCATGAAAGGTTCTCTGCAAATATTAAATTGTTATTACAGATACTGAATATTTAAGCTATGTTGCTTGGTTGTAATTGGTAAGATATGTCACATGATACTGTTTTAATTTCCTGACTAGATGAGTCAAACATTTCCCACATGCACATCGAAATTTTATTTTCTGCAAATACTCATTCATTTGACTTTGAAATACACTGATACAAATATTTGTAGAATACAAAAGTTCATTCACTTGAATGTCTGTGGAAAGCAAACATAAAAGGAAAGGAACACAAGGATGGCCAAAGCAATTCATTTAAAAATTCAAGGAAGTGTCCCTTTAAATGCAGCCCTGCAAAATTCTACTCGGCCACTCACCTGAAGCAATTAATTTATGATGAGTAGTTAAGATATTTTTCATTATCATGTAAAAAATGGGCAGGTAGATTTTTGTAGGTGCCTGGACCTGTAAATTTTCATGTCAATTTCACAAGGTTGATTTACTATATTGCATATGCATTTGCTTCATTAGATTTAGATTAAAATTTTTGCTTTAATACTCACTGGTAAGATCTTTCACAAGGTCTAAATGCAGTATTGTAAACATCTGAGAGAACATTTTCAGATTTTATGTTATAATTTCTGGTTTTCATGGCTGCCCTCTGGACTACGGGCCCAATCCTGCTCACCGTACTCACACGAGTAGTTCCACTGAAGTTATCTGACTACTTATGTAAGTAAAGAGAGCAGGATTTGGCACAGTGTGGACAAATGACAAATGATGTACTGCCTCGCAGCTGCAGGAAGAAAAACTCTTTCCAAAAGTAAGTGGCCCATTTAATTTTGTTCTGATTTATATTCCTCCATAGCTATTTCAAGTTTGTTCTGTTTTTCAGTCCCCCCATCAATTTCTGGCAGGAATGAGATGGTGGCAGTGGTGGTTAATAATCTAGTGAGGTTGGAATGTGAAGCCAGAGGTATCCCTACACCCATTCTGACTTGGCTGAAAGATGGTAGCCCTGTTTCCAGCTTTTCTGATGGACTCCAGGTAACTGATGCAAACCTTAGTACTTGTGGGTTTTTTGGTATCTTGACATGGGTACTTAAAACTACTTCATTTTAATGGAACTGGATTTTTAGAAGGTTTTTAGTGAGGCATGTTGTGCCTTTCCTCTCAAGGTTACTGGTTCAAATCTAGCCTATGCTAGTAGTAACCATAGATATGAAGATTGCTCTCTGTGACCTTTATGAAATTAATTGGTGCTCTCAGTCAAGAGTTCATACAGCTAAAATTGGCACTTCTCAGAGATCCCAAGGAATGAATGAAAAGGGAAATTAAACTGTGCTGAAAATGTGAGGTGATTCATTTGAGGCCAAGACTGGGCCACACTGGTCGGGCAATTTGGGGAAGTTTGCACTGCAGCTGCCTATGAAACCTGTCCTGTGGATAAACAGAGGCTGTCAACCTAGCACTTTTTCAATGGTAGTAAATGCAAACAAAAATGTCCATTAAAGGAATTTAGGGAAATGTTAACCATGGATACAATGCCATGATAACTAGTAGGGTGACCAGA